TCACCCAAAATAGTAGGCTTTTTTCGTCTCGCAATATTCTGCGGTACCAACATGAGGAAGCATTTCCTTTTGCAGAATATCTCTAGCATACCTGAGAGGCAAACAGATTCATGAAACGGTTGCAACCAAAAAGCTCTCAAGAAGTTTACCAGAAATAGACATACTTGATCCTCTTCTCCCTTGTAACACCAACAGTTGCCCCACGTTTTCCGATATAATCAAGAGCAACCTAAAGATACATTAGCATGCCATGTCAGTTTCAGAAAGTATAGCCTTAAGGTTAAAGTACATAAAACCATCTAGATTCATGTACATGCCACAGAACTACAAGTCAATGATGATGCAAACAGACCAGCCTAACCAAGTTCGATAAAAGGGCAGTTTAGGTACCTGTTGATTTTGAATAACAAAGGCTTCTTCCAATGAAGGGCGTAACAACTCCATCATTTGGGTGTCAGCGAAATCGTAACATATGTGCTCCAATATGTCTTTGTCAGCAACAAATCCCAGAGCTCGAAATACAATAATGATTGGAATCTCAGTTCTGATGTATGGTAGTGTAGCCTTAATGTACTGTCCTGATGATCCCTGTATATAACACCGAATCATAAACACAATTCCAAGAACCACAACTCTTGAAACATTAGTCTATTTCATGTAGTTCCATGTGCATACCCCTTTAGCACTAGTCCGAGAAAGCATCCGGACGAACATGGTGCTCGGAGGCCGATTTTGAGACTCTGCCATGGACCGAACTTCGGCCACATAGGCATACTTGTTTGGCTGCCTTTTCTTGAAAACATAAACATGGTTTGTGCTCATCTTCTCCTGAGCAATCAGCACTTTCTCACTACCATTGATTATGAAATACCCACCCTGATCAAACGGACACTCTCCAAGCTCCGTTAGATCTGTCTCAGAATTGTGGTGCAACGTGCAAAAACTTGACCGAAGCATTATAGGAACCTGAATGTGTGCAACAAGAAATCAGCCGCGCATCCAACAGTTTAGTCACCAAAGCTTTAACAAACAGTTAGTTTGAAATCCACACACCTTCCCAATGAAAACTTTGGTGAAATCCTGAGATTCAGTTACTTCTTCACCATCATGACCCTTCTTTATCACCCTCTTTGAAACATCCACATACAAAGGAGCTGAATATGTCAGGTTCCTTAACCTGGCAGCTTTGGGGAATAGTGTCGCTGTTTCTCCGTCAGACTCGGTCATCATAGGCTTACTCAAATATATCTGTTCGAAGCTGATCTTATAAATGGTCTGCAGAAAACCATCTCTGTCAGAACAAATTACAAAAACCATACATAACCCGACCACAATCTATAACTGCTATGCCTGGCAAGTCCCAACACACTCCACTGAATGACAACAATAAACTCGGCCATAACATTTAATGCATTCATAATCATCCAATCTCCTGTTAGAACCCAAACTCAAATCTCGTTCCTCAGGAACTCTGCTTCTACAGTAAACACCTAGAAACCCTAAACCAAAACACCCTACACCAGCCATTCTGCGTTTCTCCAAACAGGTACCAAAGTTTTGTTCAGGCCATAGAGAAGTTCCCCCCATAATACATAAGCCTCTCGTCCCATCTAAATACACTCTCACTGTGACAACAATTAAGGGCACTTCGTTTTCTTTTTTCCATTCTATCACTTACGACCAGCAACCATAGCCAAACCCCTATAAGTTGGGGGATACCTCAGCGAAATCGGACTGATGGCCGGGGTTATGCTGGCTCTCCGGCCGAATTTCAATATCAGCTGACTCGTCCACAATCTCTTGCATCGTGTTCTGGATGAACTCGTCGAACGAATCGAGCTGCTGCCGCACCAGACCTTTCTCCTCGAAGTAGGCGGAGATGACGGCCCATGCGTCCTCCTGAGTGATCTCCTCGTCGCCTTCGTCCTCCTCATTGAGCTGGGGATCGTACTCTTGATCTTCATCCATCGGATTCATATTTCCACAAGTTGAGAAAAAACCCCTAGAAAATTTTCAGTTCCCGCCGCTGCTTCCTCTTCTTCTTCTTCTTTTCTAATATCTCTTTGCAATTCAATTCAATCGCGTTTCAGTTCAACGGTGAGTCAGGCGGAAGCTCCTTCGGAAACCCTAACAATGGAGGTTTTTCGCGGCAAGGAAAAGGGATGAGAGGATCGGTCTCTGAGCAGGAACTGCCCGACGAACGGAAAGGGAACTAGCTAGCTCGAAATTTTAACTAATAGATCGATAGCTAAGCCATGAGTGACGCAAATCGATGAACAGGCGGTGGAGGGTTTTTAGTAAAGTCGGTGATTGGTGTGACGAACTGACGTGGAATTATGGTCCTTTTGTCCTTTTATTCTTTCGCGCTTTTGTTTGAACAAACATGGGCTGGGCTCTATGCTATTTGTTTGGGCCAGGGCAGTCGTCCAGCCCACGTTGGATAATTGACAAAAAGCTCATTTAACTTTGGCCTGGTAACACAAATGGTCAGGAACTTTTAAGATATCTTAAAATGGTCACTTAAGTATATCAACATATCAAAATAGTTTTTTCATCACTTTTGGTAAATTGAAATATCAAAAAAGGAGCCGATGTGGCATCCAACTCAATAACGCTAGTCAGTATATATATATATATATATGAATAAAATATTATTTTAAACTTATTTTAGTGAGATGAGTAAACTAATTAATTTTTCATACTATTATGATAAAACACCACTTTCAATTCATATAAACAATATGAGTAACCAATGCAGTCATCCTTTGTTGTTTATGAAAAAAAACCATGAACATAATATCCAATTTAATCAGCCCAAGTGCGAAAATTTTGGTCAACATAATAAATAAATAAAAAAGAGACAACGAATCGCCATGTACAATAAGGAGACCATGAATCATCTTATGTGACTCTCCTAATATTGTCTCGATAAATTCGTATCTCTTTGATGGTTCAAATCAATGTATGAATGTATAAATATACGGTTTAATAACAAATAAAAATGGGTTTTGTTCAACTAAACTTTTCAAATTTACTAGAGGTAACTAGTCAATGATGTAAAAATGAGCTATCAACTAAAAAAAATGCTGTATACGATATTTTACCGGTAACTAACCACCAATCAGTTTTTAATTTCAATAGAGTATGGATGTTTATAACCTTTTAAATACCACACAATGTGAGGTCGATACAATATGTCAATATTAAGTGCAAGTTTCCCCAAAGTTCTTGGGAAGTATAGTTGGATCTCATTCCAATCACCACCAGCTCTATACGCCCTTATCCAAGGCCGAGGGATGGGAGGTTGATCCACCAAAACAAGCTAATTAATCGCATGGTGCCATGCAAAGACAGTGAATTTTACATTCATGCAAAGATAATGATGATTACTTTATCAAATTTCCATTAGTGCAAAATAGAACCTTCATTTCCGTCATGTTTAGTGAACTCTTTGTCGAGATTTTTTCTTTGATTTGTTTGTACAAGCTATGTGGTTGCTACCTAGGATAAAAGACAGTATAATGTTCTTTTTTGCTCATTTCTTTCTCTTTGGTAGATCATAGTTTCATACGTTGATAATAAATAGATAATTTTCTTCTTCTTTTGAAGAGCATACAATTATGTACTTTTATTATGTCGAGAGCCGAGAGGGACTTTTATTTGGCGTTAGATAAACTTGATTATCATGACCAACGCCTCAACATGACGACATGTGAGTTAGAGGCACGTGGTTTAACTACAAACCCCTTCAAGTCAAATCATCCACAAGAGAAACTATGTGATTTGAACAAGGAAATTTCATCGTTCAAAAAAGTGTACTCTCATTACAAGTTACTTACATTACATGCTTACACAATGTGGAGCTACTCGTAAAGTAAAGGGATCATGGTGCGTTCCAATTCCAATTCAAACTACGGTTACAAACGCAAATAAAACTTAAAAAAAACGAAACAATCGGTAAGACTCTTGCGACCCTACGCCCGATTGACTACACAAATTCGCTAGTAGAGGTGGCAATTAGAATCCAAATCCATGAATCCAATCCAATCCATCCACTTAAATCCAATCCATTTGATCCAAATCCAATTAGATTGGTGGATTCATGGATCCAAATGATAAATTACGATTTGGTACCTATATTTTTTATATTTTACATTTTGATACCTAAAATTTATATTTTTATACGAAAATAGCATTGGAAAATTACATTTTTATACGAAAATATCATTTCAAATTTTACATTTTGGTCCAAGCCTTGGATGTTATTTGGATTCATGGATCAATCCACCAATCCATTGAATCCAATCCATTTGATCCATGGATCCACCAATTCAATTCACGAATCCAATCTAATTGTTACCTCTATTCGCTAGTCTTTTAGTATTCATACTCCTGAACCGCTTACTCAAATTCCGACTTTTTATGCTACTGCTATTAGCACACATAGATTATCTTAACTAGGAAGCATATTTAAATTGTGGGTTAAAATAGTGGACGGTAAGTATATAGATCACAATTGGGTACAGATTCCGGCGGAGTTGTTCAACCAAACCGTTGATATTTGTACCGCCCTCTCCCCCAAAACTCACCATTTCTTTATTTAATCACTTCCCATTTTCCTATCTGCCCTTTTTCCTCCAAACAAGCCCTCCCAATTGTTTAAGCGATTGCATCAGGGGAAAAGCCAGAAAACAGAAAGCGATTGGCAACTGAATTTTTATATAAGTAGAAAACGTTGTACAGTTCTTTCTAACACGAACCTCTGTTTTCTCAGTTGACCGGTTACCAAACAAAGAACTTATAGCTATTATAGCTTGCTTCCTCTCCTTCCCAGAGAAACAGAGTTTCTTCCTCTGCCTTCCATCTGTCTAAATCCCAACCCATTTTTCTGCCACATCGCCAACACAAAATCGAAAGGCCTTTCTGTTGTCTTTCTCCTTATGTTGTCTCCAGAACTGGGTCTTTAAAAAGCTTTTAATTTCCCACCCATTAGAGAATCAAAAAAATCAAGGTTTGCCTCTGCAGCAGCCATGGCGAAGATCAGGAAGGCCGTGACCGTGATTCTGAGGCTGATCGCTCTGGCTGCCACGGTGGTTGCGGTTGTGATCATGGTCACCAGCAAGGAGACTGCTCATGTCTTGAACTTGACGTTCACCGCCAAGTTCACCCACACCCCTGCCTTCAAGTAAGTCTTCCTGTTCCCTGAACTCGATTCTAGTGTTGACCCGTTTTTGTTCATAAGGAATCTTACAAGTTACAACTAATCGTTTACACAATTCTTGCAGATATTACGTCGTCGCGGAAGCAATTGCTGGAGTGTACACCATCGTAGCCCTGCTGTTGTCTTCCAGAAGCTTGTTGGCGCGGTTAATCCTGATCCTAGACGTGGTAACTAGCTAATCACAGTTTCATACCATAATTAGATTAATTATTCTAGTTAATCGTCGTTGTGGTTTAGTTAATGAAGTTTAGGGTGATTTTCGTTGTGTTAATTTTGTCATCAGGTGGTGGCGATGGTTTTGACTTCGAGCATCTCCGCCGCGCTGGCGATAGCTCAGGTGGGGAAGCACGGCAACAGCCACGCCGGCTGGCTGCCGATCTGCGGCCAAGTCCCTCATTACTGCGACAAGTTGATTATTTCTCTCGTCGCCGGATTCGTTGCCGCGCTGGTGTATTTGCTGCTTCTCGTCTACACGCTTCGAGCGGCGCTGAGTCCTGTGTTCGCCATTAAATCTTAGAAAAAATTATGTCTGGTGTAATGTACTAAGCTTAGCTAGCTACAGAGTGCTGGTTAATATATCTTGGGCTTCCTTTCTTCTTATTCTTTTATCTCCCTGTTGTTTTGTTTCGTTTGAAGCAATAATATTTTAGCTTAGTTATTGTAATGCTATTTTTTTTTTATATGAGATGGTTGAGAAAGAATTCCCCGATTGAGTTTACATCTTAGATTTCTATTGTCACCTCTGGTTGTTCAAATTCTCGTGCCTGCACATAACGACAAATTACGATGTCGTCATTTATCAGCAAAATCTCCTATACTACTTCTGGAAGACTCGCGAAATCAATCTCCACCGTCCGATCGAAACGACTTTTCTATCAACGGTCCCGTACCGTCCACACACAATTCAGATAATTCCCGCGTGGCCACTCGCCGGAAACTCATTTCAAGCCACTCACTCAGTAGTCAGAGTACCCCACGGCCGGGAGTCTCACTCTCACCTAAATGCAAATTCCGGAATCAGAGAGAAAGAAATCTCAGCCGATTACAGAGCAGGATTAGCGATCAAAGATGGTTTCGGCCGTTCAGGGCTTGAAATCTCCTCTTTCTTCGAGCTTTCCCTCCATATCCAGACCAAGAGCAGCCGCTCGCAACCGCTCCTCCGCTAGGGTTCAGGTTACCTGCTCGAGCTCTACTCCGGAGAATACTCCTCTTGTCATCGGTAAGTCTTTCCAGGATTTCAGTTTTGTTTCCTTCGGGAGCAGGTTCTGTTGATTGAGCTAAGAGATTTAGTGTTGGTTGCGGGCAGAGAAGCCGCAGATGAACGACGCCCCTCCGGTTACCGGCGGCGCGTATGATTTTGAGAGGGCGACGAGCTCTCTGGCCGGGAAGTTGCTGTCCTCTCCGAAGAAGGTTACGATTGTGAGGCACGGGCTTAGCACGTGGAATCTGGAGAGCCGAGTTCAGGTTAGGCCGTTAGGGCAAAGATCGAATTGAAATTGATATTGAAATTGGGAATTGGAAGTGTATGAGCTTTCAATTTGGGGAAATTTGGGTGTTTGTTTGTGTTAGGGAAGCTCGAATTTGTCTGTGTTGACGGAAACTGGAATAATTCAAGCGGAGATGTGCAGGGCGGCTTTATCAGGGATGCACTTTGATCAGTGCTTTGCGAGCCCGATAACTCGTGCTAAGGTGTGTGCTTTATATTGTAGAACACTTACAGAACTAGCTGAGAGAAGTTTGCAGGTTTCTTGTTACTCAAGTCAAAACCTTTACATGTGTTTGAATCTGAATGTGGCAGTCTTTTGCTGAAGTGATATGGGAAGGGAGGGAAGAACCCATCATTTTCCTTGATTCACTGAAAGAGGCTCATCTCTTCCACCTCGAAGGCTTGAGAAATGGTCTGTCCCATTTCGTTTCCCTCGGGTGTATTTATTCCTTACTTGTCAAGTTACAATTTTTGTTCGTTGTTAAACTTGTGCTGGGATCGATTTGCTGTATAAAGACTAAATGATGTTCAGCATTTGGAGGCAGTGGATGCTAAGGCAAACTATCCCGAGTACACGATGTGGAGAGAGGAGCCTGTCAACTTCAATGTGAATGGTGTCTACCCGATCCGAAATCTGTGGCTTACAGCAAGAGAAGCATGGAAGGAGATCTTGCTGTCACCTGTGAGTTCTTCCTCTGCTTCGCTACGTCGTGAATGGATTATCAATCTATGCTTGTAAAAGAAATCGTTTGTTTTGATATGGTGACTGTTGGCCAATTCATTCGCTAGGGAGAAAATTTCCTGGTTGTCACACACAAGTCGATATTACGGGCATTGATATGCACAGCTTTGGGGCTTGGTCCGGAAAGGTATGTCGTATTGAGAATATCTTTGCAGCAAATTCCAATCTTGAGCATAACTGTTAATCTTAGGGCCCGTTTAGTATTGTTGTTTGTTTTTGTTTTCTGTTGTGTTTTAAGAAATTTGGAAAATCAAGAAAAAAAAACGTGTTTAGTTGGGTTTTTATTTTTTGTTGTGAATCAGAGTTGCACAACAAGGTCCAAATATGAGAAACAACAATTTATAGCTTTGGATTTGATTCTTAAACATGTTGCACACGGGATTCCTATTGGTTGGGCGCTTGATTTCATTAAAACAGACCAGTTTTCGAATCCCCACAAAAGCAAAAAAATTTCTTTTTTTTTAACACAGCCCCCCCCCCCCCAAAAAAACCCTACTTCCCCATTTTCATCATCTTCTTCTTCTCGATAGAACACAGCCGCCCTTTTCCATCTTCTTCTTCTTCTCGACAGAACACAGCCGACACCCATCTTCTTCTCCCAGCCTCTGCGCGGCGCGACCCCTCTGCTTCCGCCCAGCGCCGTTCCGCCTCCGGCCGCCGCAGCCCACGCCGCCTCGCCTCAGCCCGCGCCGCCTCGCCTCCGCCCGCCGCAGCCCGCACCGTCTCGCCTTCGCCCAGCGCCGCCTTGCGGACATATCTCTTTTTCTGGTTTTTAGTTCTTATAGTAGTAACTAAACGCGTTTTTGTTTCTTGTTGTCAGCTTTCATGATTTTTCAGATTTATCAACTAAACATGTTTGTGTTTTCTGTTTTTTTCCTGTTGTGGTTGTACATTTGTTTACACAACACCACTGCAACGAGATTTTTCCAGAAATAGCACTGTTTAAAAAAAAAATTCCAAAAATAGCACCCAACTCCGAAAAATTCCAAAAATAGCACCATTTTTTTTAAACCGCAACCCGGAGGTGCGTTTTTCGATGAAAACCGCACTGGTAGGGAGCGGTTTTGCAAACCGCACCCCCAGGGTGCGATCTGCCTTTTTTTTTTTTTTTTTTTTGCAAACCGCACCCCCAGGGTGCGATCTGCTTTTTTTTTTTTTTTTTTTTTTTGAAAAATCCTAACTTAGGTGGAAACTTCAAGCAAACGTATCTTTATGTTCGGGTATCCGATCGCCGCGATTTTTTTTTTGATTCCGCATAACTTTTTGAGATCTTGCAAGCCGAAGACTGCCAAAGGTGGTTTGGTCTCGCCTTCGAACCAAAAAATGTCGTTTGCTACCCCGAACGAGCATTTTTTCGATTTCGTCAAACTTTGAACGACCATAACTTTGTGCTCCACAATCCGAAAATCATGATTTTTTTTTTGATTTTGCATAACTTTTTGAGGACTAAATTTTTTTATCATAGACATAATTTCGGAATGTACTTGGATTCCTAAAAAGAAAGGTAAACTTATTCCCAAAACCCCGTATATCCAAAATAATTCATTTTTTGAAAATTCTCTCCTAGAAAAAATTGTAGTCCTCAAAAAGTTATGCAAAATCAAAAAAAAGTTCATGATTTTCGGATTGTGGAGCACAAAGTTATGGTCGTTCAAAGTTTGACGAAATCGAAAAAAGGCTCGTTCGGGGTAGCAAACGACGTTTTTTCGGGACGAAGGCGGGACCAAACCGCCTTCGGCATTTTGCGGCTTGCAAGATCTCGAAAAATTATGCGGAATCAAAAAAAAAATCGCGACGATCGGATACCCGAACATAAAGATACGTTCGTTTGAAGTTTCCACCTAAGTTAGGATTTTTCAAAAAAAAAAAAAAAGCAGATCGCACCCTGGGGGTGCGGTTTGCAAAAAAAAAAAAAAAAAAAGGCAGATCGCACCCTGGGGGTGCGGTTTGCAAAACCGCTCCCTACCAGTGCGGTTTGCATCGAAAAACGCGCCCTCGGGTGGCGTTTTCATCGAAAAACGCACCTCCGGGTTGCGGTTTTACAAATATGGTGCTATTTTTGGAATTTTTCGGAGTTGGGTGCTATTTTTGGAATTTTTTTTTTAAACAGTGCTATTTCTGGAAAAATCTCCCACTGCAACCACAACAGCAACAAAATGATACTAAACGGGCCCTTAGTAATACCACGCGCGGCTGGTAACAGAATCCTGCTATGGTTTTCTCAGGTTCAGGGCAGTTGATGTGAACAATGGAGGCATATCTATGTTTGATATCAACACCAGAGGAGAAGCAATGGTTCAGTCTTTGAACATGACTGCTCACATGTATACCAACCATGTGTATCATTAGGTGAAACTACTAGTGTGTTGCAAGCCACCCTGTGGAATTTGCTGTTGAATTCAGATGACGAGAGAACCTATTTGTAACAACTTTTAGTGGGAATCTACTTTGTAAGCATTCTGAGTTTCGTTCGGTTGGAATTTGATTGTATAAGTTCTGTATATAGACCAGTAAACTGCCATAATTGGAGAGTTTCAGCCAATCCTGACGATTGGAGTTTTACTTTGTAGATAATGAAACCATATTGTAGCTGTTTCTTACTTGAAGCAAACACATTTCAACTTGACATGAATGGTACAGCTACAGAGTACAGCCTACAGCCTACAGCCATAGAAAAAAGCTACCTCTTTGGGGATTCCAAAGCCCATATATATGTTTAGTTCAAATGTTCCAGAAAAGGCCCATTTCACATTCAATTTCTGGCCCAACAAAAGCCCAATAATTTGATTGCTCAACCTTTCTGTCCCTTCCTTTGTCAGTGAATCGAAGAAAACCAAAAACCCTCCGCGATCTAAACCCCTCGCCACCATCACAGTTTGTCGCCGGCCATGGCGCATCGACGTTCACTCCACTCCCTTGCTCGCTTCTTCTCTTCACACTCCACCGTCGCTCCGGGATGTGCTCTGAAATCAGTCGCCTCAATTCTCCCGAATCATTTCTCCACGGCCGCAATCAGCTCGAGTTCCGATTGCATTGTTCCAAAGTCGGACGCCACTTCTTGGTGCAGCAGCCTCTTCTCCGGCAACCGAGCTCGACATTTTTGTTCTAGCTCACGGAAAGATGACGATGATGATGATAAAGACGAAGAGGATGACGGCGAGGAGAGCGAAGGAGACTACAGTGATGAAGACGAGGAGGGAGCTAGGGAGTCGTCTGATTCTAATTCGAAGCCGAAACCGCCGCCGGGTCCTGTAGACAAGGTGGCCAGGGCTGCTGAGATTGGATACAAAGTGGTCGGCAAGCTACGGCCTTCTGATAAAGTCTTCAAACCGTACGAGCCTGTTTACGCTGTCGTTCAGGTTTGGGTTTAACCTTCTTAGCATTGTTCCTTTTTTCTTTTGTTGGATTTTGAAGTTCTTGGATGGGATTGTTGATGCTTTTGTGGCGTTTCTGTGATGTAGATTGGGTCTCACCAGTTTAAGGTCAGCAATGGGGATACTATTGTCGCCGAGAAATTGAAGTTCTGTGATGTAAATGACAAGGTAAAGTTGGGATTCTTGTATATCTTTCTAGCACATGGTACTATGGCGCTTACATTCGCAGTGATTCTATGTCATTGGTAAACATTTTCAGATGGGTTTAATCTTATGTATCTATTATTGTAACATTTCAGATGGGTTTTGGTAAACATTTCTTATGCATCTTGATTGCTATGTCATTGTTTACCAACATTTGTTCAATCTTATGTATCTATTATCGTAAGCATTCAGTTGATCCTTCACTCGTTGATGCCATTGCAGTTGATTCTCACCAAGGTTCTGTTGTTAGGGTCAGCAACCCAAACAATTGTTGGTAGACCGATTGTGCTGGATTCAGCTGTTCATGCAGTTGTTGAGGAGCATGTAAGTCTGACATTTTCTCTCTTGTCTCCGACCCAGAACAAGCTTCCATAACAGACAAAACAAGCTCTTTGGTTTTGTTAGGGTTCAAGAATCAGACCACTGAGTCATTTACACTGTGATAGTTGAAATTTAACAACTGCTTTGTATCCTGTGTGAATCACTAGTTAATAGAAAATTACAGCAGAAACAATTGTCTTCTGTAATGAGAAAAATGTTGGTCTTGAACTGAGATTATCTCTTCTCTTTCTTATATTCGGTGTCGTACGTTAAGTTTAACACTGTTTATCTCTCACTGGCTTGGGTTATAAAGATGGAATAACCTCTTTGTTTCATATAAGGAACTGTTGTTTAATTGTTTCCTGCTTATTCTAAAATTTGCTTCCCCATCATGTTAGCTCTCTGGGTTCTCAAAATTATAAAATTCCTTTTTAGTGATCCGGCAAGGGAAGGTCTTAGTTGTAGATGAATTTTGTGCATGGAAATGGGCACTGTTTCATATGGTTAGTTACTGTTACTTTACTCACCATTTAGAGAAAGCATAGTTCAACTTTTCTGGAAAGACTGCTGGACCAATATGAAGTTTTACATGCATTTCATATATGGGATGTTGGATTCCTCTGGGAAGCAAGAACTATTTTTCCTCCCTTTGTTCCAACCTCCTTTATCCCCCCCCCCCCCCCCCCCCCCCCCCCTCTTCTTCTATTCTTCCTGTAACTCTTCCAAATGGTTCTTGAGATGAAACGCTTCAATATTTTCTGTAAAAGAAAGTTATGTATGGAAACTTGTGAAGCTACAGTCACTCACCATATGTTCTGTGTTAAAATCTCCATAGTGTAATCCGTAATTGCTTTTTACATTTTTCAGGCATTAGACGAGAAGGTAATAATCTTTAAGAAAAAGAGGAGGAAGAACTACCGCCGAACTAAAGGACATCGTCAGGTACGCTAAACATGAGTTTCTGCATGATTATGATCATACTTCCACTCATTCTCAAGATCATACTATTTTCCTTCAATCTCTGGATTGTGGTTTTGTGTTGTTCCCAGGAATTGACTAGATTAAGAATCACCGACATTCAAGGAATTGCAAAACCTGAAATCAAAATAGATCCAAAACTCACAAAGCCCACGAAGCCTACAGTTAAGGAGCAAGAAAAGGTTGCAGTCGCTGCTTAGGAAACATTCTGTCGTCTTGCCAGTAATGCTCCCTGGGCTTGTAAGGTCAGATATTAGTTCTGCAATGCTGTGTTTAGTTTGGCAGAGTACCTTTAGATCCATTCAGCAAAGATGCTATTAGGGGGACAAAGTAAGTGAACCATCCAAGAAGATGGTTGACAGGTTGATCCGATGGAAATATACTACTTTCACCTGTCATCTTCTTCACTCCACTGCATTTCTTGGTCTGTCATCTTTTGGTAGCTATACTGCTTTCCCCGTTTAATGTAATAAAGTTTGTCCTAAGAGGCTATCAATTGAGGATCAAATAAAGTATCCTTTTGATATGAGACTTTGTTCTTCTGTTAGGGTTTTTTTTTTATATGCTTGAAACGGATTTGGCCTTATCGTGCAAATGCTGATTAGTGATTTCAAGCATGAGCCTTGGGCTTGAAGCTTACTGTATTAGAGCATTTGGTCTTGTTTGATGAATGTTTAATCGCCCCTGGCTTTTGATATAGTTGATTGCTGGTTTATTGAAAGTTCCCCATCGTCTTGGTAAACTTGGTGCCTGCAGGTGCTGTGTGGCTTCGTGGCCGGTAGGTATTCTTCCAACTTGTCATGTTCTCGATCCGTTTTATGATACTATCGTGTCTCTTAGAAATCATGTTTCAACTCTAATGTAGTTAGTTCCAAGTACTAGCCTTCACATCTCGAATAACTCAACTTCACTAGTAGGTGGAGATGAATCCACTCCTCCTGTCATTCTTCTTGATCACTCCAGTTTTGGCAAACATAAAACATGTGTTGTTTTGTGCCCACTTTCAACAGTTGGAAAGAGCACTTTGAGTTAGAAATGGATAGACACGATGGCACTATCTAGCAGCAGTGCCTCCACTGTGAAAAAAAAAAGCATGAAACAAAAAGGAAGAACACTAAAGAGAGACTCGAGGAAAAAGGGAAGGAGAGGAAAACGATCGCACCGTTAGGATGTCTATCTCTTCAGTTGACCCGCAACTTACTGTTTAAACACTTTACCAAACTTTATTTTTCCCTTTACAAATTCCTCCATTATAGTGGCTTGAGAGTCGATAGGAATTTGGAAATTATACCGTCTCTAATAGTATTTTTGTATAATAAAATTATGCGAGCTTGTTACTAAAGTTTAAAATAACTGATATAATAGTGTCGTCAGGTATATTCATATCGAATTTCATGTTCAAAGTTTTCATGTTAGATTTTCAATTCTCACAAATTTAATGATAAAGTAGTCACCCGAGTCATATTATTATCTTTTAAATTGGAGAGAAAAAAATTCAAGTAGTTTTTGGGCAATGAGTGTCGAGTAACTAATTGTGTTTGCATCGAGTATGAGTAATGAGTTAAATTGAATTGTTTGTGTCAGCTCATTAGGGCCGATGTGATTATCGTATTACTAATTTTGATGATTTGAGAGAATGATATGAAATCTCATATCTTTAAAAAGAAAACTCGACAAAGATAAATGAAATGATTGTAATGTACTAATTATCCCAAACTTTGCTGACGAATTTATTAATCACCAACTCAAAGTTTAGGGTTCAAGATGTAGTATTTGGCTCCTTAAATTGATGCACAATTTTTAATAGGAACATTGCCATACCACCAAAGCTAGGGTTAGGCGCAAGCTGAAGATTTGATTTGAGATTATCAAAGGACCAAAAGGAATCCTTATAGATAAAAAAAAAAAAATGGTCAAGTTGTATAGAATGTGCATTCCAGGTATATATTTAGACTCACTCACTAACCCACTAACAAATTTGTGCCTTTGCATGAAATCAAACATATAAGAAAATAAATAAAATGATTTCGTGGTGCTTGTAAAAAAGCAATATATTCAAGAGTGGAAGTCGGTGTTTATTTATGTAGAAATGACAGATGGACAATTGTTTTACACAATAATTGGCCAACCCAAAAAGAGAAAAGTCTTCTTCATTTGGGGTTTCTTAGGAAAATTCTTCATCATTGTGCTTTGGGGCTTGGAGGGGCCAATGGAGAAATAGTATTTTGGATATGAGATCATGAAGAGTGGCAATGGATTGTTTGGAGATGATGTGTATTTTTATGATGTAGAAAGGAGTGAGTTCCATTTTGAATCGAACAAAACATTCAGATGGGAATAGAATATGAAAGAAATTCGAGAAAATAAGTTTGATTTCTTGTGATTTGATTCTATTTTTTTCTTTGAGTTATTCATTATTGAGATTTAGTGGGAGTCAAAATGAGAACTGATTTTAAATATGAATTGTAATGATATCCTGAATTATGTTTAAAGGAACACAACATACATAACTCTTCAAAGATATGTATATTAATTTCTATGCATATATATAAGAATTGCACTAGAGAAAAACATAATGACAATGTTTCAATATGTGTGCATGAAAACTCCAGTATGTAACAATAAAGTTAACAATGTATCGTCATAATTTTGTATCGTCATAATTTTGGCTTGAGAACTCCAGGTGTCATGGATGGAAGATTAGAATTTGTGATGATTCCTTTAGTAAATTCTAAAAATTGATAACTCAACACCAACATTTCAAATTGCTTTGTCAAAATACATCTTTCGTAAATTTCAATGGTTCAACAATTCTACATCCAAAATATCATCTCATGCACTCCTAATAATGTTGAATATAATTCGCATATACCATTTTCTTGATTTTATCAATATAACTAAGAGAATTGTATATTACAAGCTGGACAAAAGCCAAAGTTGGAACTAGTAAAGTACAAATAAGTATGCCAAAGTTGGAGTAATGGGGAATTTAAAATCTCATTCCATGAAACCCACAAGCACAAAATGCACTGTCCCCTTTACATAAGTGGACTCTGGCTTGGCTTTCTGTTCTCCCAAATGCTTCATTGCTTTGCAAATTCAAAATTTTCAATCACATCCCTCATACAATATTTTCATAAAAATATTTAGAAGTTATTCGATATCTTTTATACAATTTGAATCGTTAAAAATAAAGTGGTTCTCGATATTGCATCATATCTTTAATTAAGAGGTCTCGTTGTTCGAATCCTCATGAACTTTCGTGTTAACAATCAACTTGAAATAAAAATTATGGCCAAATTTTTTTGAATTTCGAACTCATAAGCTAGTTTTGTTGAGGGTATTGATGAAAACTCGTAGAAATTGAATATGACTCGTACTTTTTTTATAAGCATTATGTGTGAACTCCACTTCCCATCCTTTGTCCTCGATGATGATTATAGTAATCGAAAATTTTAGTGGTTGCAATAGTTCAATTCCCTCCACTTATTGGGTATCTTTCAAGTAAACCGTTCCTTTTTCATAATAAAATGCTCTATCGGGACAGGCAAAAAGATGGTCTAGTAACTTCAATGCATAGCAAATACCAATTCTGATCGAAAGATTTATCTCTTTAAAAGGGGAAGATGTTGGTCTATCGAGTTTTCCTATTCAAAATTATGCATTGTAAGAGGTAAAGTAAATTCATGAGAAACAGAACACAAATACTCTCAATAAAAGATCCATATATATATAAAATGTAAAAGAATAATTAATCACAACAATTCGAGCTCGTGAAAGATAGTTAAAAATGAAACTTTATACAATTTTTAAAGGGCTATATCGCTATCTTCTCCCTCCTGACAACTTGGTTCCAAAATTTTCAAAATTATTTAGCATAATTCGAAAACAAACAGAGAATATCAAGTCACCTTGTTTACAACTAATTAGTTCTTTATGTAGAAAACATTGTCTCTTTTCTTTATGATAATTATTCCTCTAGTGGTGGATTATTGTCCCCCCTCCCTCTATCCTTAAAAAGTAATTAAGTGCCAAATTATACTAGGGTTGGTTCCTCTTTCTTTCATCTTGTGCTTTAGATATATGGGATCCGTCATTTGATTCGTCCCAATCCAATTGCACTTTTCATAAAGCAATACACCACTACTCCAAAATTCTTCAATAATATAAAATCAAAAGTAGTGAGGTGGCCAACATTATTCGAAACTCGTTATGAGAAAGAGATTAGACAATTCATTCAGTGCGAATTTTACATATGAAATTAACCGAAACTGTGACTTGTCCAAAGGGGATTAAAACTGATTATGAATTCAGTAATCTCTTAATAAGCCAAGTCTCCAAAAAATTTGTAAATGCCCTACAAATATGAGATAGGTAAACTACAACATCGACTCAAATATTATGACGATTAAGTTTCTCTCAAACTTAATAAGAAGCACTTTGTAAAAGGAATATTTCTGACCGGTGATTACTCATTTCCCTTTCCATTCTCCTTCATCAACATGCAAAATGTTTGTTTTTTTCGGCTCAAACTAATGATAAGTTGGTGGGAAACGAGAGAGCAATCTAGTTGGAACAAATATATCATATGCACAAAATCTTGTTCACTTATTGAGTTGACGACACATCACAAACAACCCTCAGGATAACTCAAGTGTCATTGGGCAGATTGCATCACATCCATGGCACATAAGCTGGAGTGCATAGTCAAGGAAGAACTTGGCAACTGGAATCCATCTTGAAAAGAAAAAAAAAAGATGAATGATTCATTATATAAAAAGAGAAAGAGGAATAACAAACTAGACAAAACACAAATGGTTATTCACCAAATAATCATCATGACTCTTGTGCTTTGCTTCACTTGCCAAACCCACCCTACTTTGATATTTGGCTAACTTAGATGCTTGTATTTATTTATATTTATCGTCTTTCGTTCCTCTCCCCATATACATCGTTATCAATCATTAAACATTCCATCGTTAGTTTCCAGATCCCTCAACAATAGTTGTACACTAGGTAGTATGTTGAACTATCTAATCATTTTATGACAGTTTCAAGAGCAAGCGTAAATATAAGAGTATAATGATGTGTGTGGGAAAATGCCCAAAAGCCATAATGATTGATAACCCTAAACATACACAAATGCTCAAATAGGATGACATATAAGTAGAAACTAATAATGCTCAACATTTAGTTGTGATTTGAATTTTGAAGGGATAGTGGGTAAGAAAAGGCATTGTTAGGAATTGGTCACTTTCATTTCCCTTCATAATCTATCATTATTATTTTTTGAGAAGCCTTTCCAACTAGATAGTGTTGGGAATTATTAGTGCTGTCTAGACTCAAAGAGTCCTAATTTTTTCATTTACATCTACCATAGTGCTAAGATGTAAAAAAGAAAATACCTCGAAAAGGGGGAGCATAGCTCATTCACTCTTTTCACTTGCCACCCCTAGAAACCTCATGACTTGTCAATACTAAGACCCAAATTGATTGTCTTTTTGTGTTCTTGAAGTGGGTGGTAGTGTGGCACAAGCAAATAAACTAAAGTGTAAATGTGTCACTTTCTTGTTAAACAAACCCTAATTTCCAACATAGGGGGAGGGGGGAAAGGTTTCCTTTTGTGTTGATTGACAGATAGGATATCAAAATGGGAAGGGCTCATGTTGGTATTTGTTTTTTTTATAGTTTTTAGTATTCTTTTTATCATTTGAATTCTTATGTTTATACATTTTCAGTAAGAGTGATTTCAAATCAAGCTCATATTGAGTCAAAGTTGTACTCAACTTGACAAGTTGTGTTAATGAGCATTTACCGAACTCTACCAAGTCGAACTCGAACTATATTATTTTTATTCAAGCTGAGCTCGAACTGAAAAATTTATATAAGAGCCGAACTCAAGCTAACCCAAAACTCGACTCAGCTCGTTTGAAGCCCTACCTTCAGTAGTTGTCAAAAGCCCAAGTAAGAGCAGAACATTAGAGCAATGAGCATCCATCGGTGAAAAAACCATGGATCAGTCTCTGTCTTCTAATCTACCCACCTCGTCCTAGCTTATTCATGAGGAGGGCATTTGCATCCCCGAGTCACCGAAATATTTGTGGTGAATCAAGGAGGTAGACGAAAGGTGAAGAGGCAAGAAGACAAGCCAACCTTGGAGGCAAAATCAACCACCATTTGCCACCATGAACATAAGAACTCTAGACATGGCGAATCTTATAAGAGAACAGAGAAGACATCTATAAAAAAGGATTGTTTTGAAGAATTTAAAGTTGAATGGAAATATAACCAAAGAGCGTTGAAGAAAGAAAACAAGCATAGAAAACAAAGGGGCGGAAGGCTACCACCGATGGGCAGAGAGGATGTCGATGGTTGCCCCTAACGAGGGGTGGAGATGGAAACTCTAAGAACTAGAGAGAGGTTGGAGAAAAAGGAAAATAAAAATTAGTTCAAGCTACGTAACGTACAAACTCATCCTTCTTACCCATCGTCCATCGAAACACCCATCCATAATTACCATAAATTTGGATTTCAAATTATAGTAAATTCAAGCCTATACTTTGTCCTTTTGATAGTTACAGTGCCATAATAATGGAGGTCAAAACAAGGGTTTTGGATAGGGAATGGGATTGAAATTGAATCATTGAATGGCAATTCAGTCATTTGGCTAAAGAAGTATATATAACCAAATTAGTTAAGCAAACTGCAAAAGCTTTGTTATTATTAACTTTATTATTACCATGGTTGCACTGGCACCACTCTCAGTGTCTCTCACTGTCATCGATATAACTTTTGGTTGGGGTGTGCATTGTGATGGTGATAATGGGGGGTTGATACTGTTGGTATATTCTCTCCCTATTCCCATAATCAAAATAGTCACATTCTCTTATATTCATTTCGTTCCCCCAACCCATTAGACCAATATACCACCGTTGCCGCTCACTCACCACCTTCCAGCAAAACAGAGCAACTTCCACACAAACATACAAAATTGCGAGCGAGCGAGGGAGCTATTCGTCCAACAAACAGCAGACACAGCGAGCCAGTGTTGAGGAAGCAAAGGGCAAAAGCAAAGTTTGTATCTTTGACGCGGCTCGCTGTGCGATGTTTGCGAGCCTTTCCCATGGCCTGATGGGTGGAGTTCAGAGAGGGACTCTGCCTCTCTCAATTCCCTTTCGCTGATCAGTAGTAGTTCTCTTCTCCCTCTCTTTCCCTGGGCACACGCACGAGAAAACTTCTCAAGAAGAGGGAAAGCGGCAGAAGGGATGTGAGGGAATCCCAGTTGATTTTCCCACTTTTTTTTTTATTTTCTTTTCTTTGGGTTGTTGTTATGATGGCGCTCCTGGAAGACTTCGAGGCAGCAAATTGGTAATGGGTTCTTTCTTTCTTTCCTTCCTGGTTTCAGCATCTCAACCCATTTGGTGATGCTTACTAGAGAGAATCATTTGGTGGGTTGCTGCCAATTATGCCTTTTTCTCTTGGTTTTGTTCTGGGATTCCAGAATGGATTGGTTAGCATATTGTTAGGCGGAGAAATTTTGGAGGATGCTTTTCTAACTACATACATGCATGTCCTTTGTGGAATAGAAGTTTCTGTTCTGAACTTGGGTGTCCTTGTTGTTGTAGTTAATATATATACAGACTAGTGCTTTGCATATTCATCATTAACATGTAAAAAATTTCAAGTTTCAAGATTTGATAGATGATATAGGAAGATGGTTTCTGAAAGATCCATGGCATTAAAGCTGCATGTTTTGTGGTTTATGAGAAGTAGAATTTCCTTGTTTAGGAGGAAGGTTGGTTGTTCTTTGTTATCTTCATTTCGTAGCCTCCTTCCTCTGAGGAAGGATAACTTCGATCCCTTTTTGCTCCAGTCTTTTCTGCGAGAGATGTTATTAGCTGTAGAAAAGATTATGACTTTTATCCTTTCTTGATTTGCTTGTATCATTGTATTGACATATGGCTTCATATGTTGTACTGCAGGTTGCAGGGAAATGATCCACCTTGCTAATTCTACATTTGGCCACTTGATCAAGAGGGGTGTTTTAAGCAGATCTGGTGTTTTTTCTCCTTCTGATCAATCGAATACTCTCTACATGCTGCAAGGCTTCCTGTAGCCTGATATTCCTACTTTTCATGGAAAAGTTTAGCTTCAAGCAGGGCAAATCTTCTTTGGCAACTTAAATTTTCGTTATTGACGAAGTAACTTGTTTCTCAAGGTTATACCTTGGGTTCAGCTTCTTCGGGCAAATCTTCTTTGGCAGGGTTACTTTGGATCTCCACTTTCAGCTGTGACCATAGTAGAGGAAGGTTCTTGATATAATCAGAGAACAAGTCTCTTATATATCAATTACCAAGGATTGCTGTGTACTGGGCAGATCATACTTTGGCATCAAATCCTTATTGGTATTCCAGCTTTTGTGGTGAAATCTTATTTGAAGCTTTCTGTAACAGAAGCTTCAGTCAGTCCAATTCATTGGGCAAATCTCCTTTGGCATTTGGGAGTCCAAGTTGACTCTCAGTTTACCCTCCTCCGGGACAAATCTCCTTTGGCATTTAGGGGTCATTAGTTTGACTCCTGTTATCCCTACCTATTATCCCTATCTAAGGGCAAATCTCCTTTGGCATTCGGGAGTCCTCAGCTGACTCTATATTATCCTTGTTTACCGCGTATCCGTTGGTATCTGCCTTTCAAGGCCAGTATTCTTGCACCGAGAATATTGTAGCTTGGCATTGGCTGTGGAAGTCTTTGGAATATAAAGTGGTTTCGTACTGAGCCTGATACTGGTTGATTTTCTCTGAAATCAAGTTGGTGAGGCAGTCAACAATCAAGAGGTACCTTATTTCTTAACTTCTTGATAATAGTTTTTGTTTGCCTATATATCAAATTCATGACTAAAGTAACAACTTTCTTGTTCTATAAAAATGTTTACTTGTCATTTAATCTTTCGGCATGTTAAAGGTTTAGTTATGGTTTCCTTCAGCTTTTGTATCCGAATTAGCAAATGTATCATATTGTAAGATATGCTGTGTACTTGAAGTCTTTAAATTCTTGGCTCGCCGGACCAGCTGTTGGTGGCTGAGCTGGATCTGGTCATTAAGCGGCTTAGTGAGATAATTGAGGCACCTATAGCCTTAGGATTTATTTCTCTCCAGAACAAAAACAAAAAGCATTTTTTTTTTCGTGTGAACAATTTCCCCCCTTTAGTAGCTTTCTGACATGATCCACCCTGTTGTTAGGCAAAACAAGCTCAAATTTGGAATGAAACAGTGAGCTGTTGTCTGATAATCCTGCATTAATGAAATTTAGTTCTGCTGCTTTTGATATCATTGCAATCATGACGCACTCTTAATTCTTCATTGGTTGATTGAAGCATGAGGTTTACTATTGTAGGTGATGGACATGCTTCCAAGTGACTCCGATTGGGAGAGTTCGAGCGACAGCGGCAGCAGCAGTGAGGACATGGAGGAACTTGAGTTTGCGTACGGTGGACAAGCCTGTAGCATTCTGTCCTGCCTAGACGAGAGCATAGGGAAGATTGATGATTTCCTCTCATTCGAACGTGGCTTTGTCCGTGGTGACATCGTCAGCTCTGTAACTGATCGATCTGGACAAACAGGCAGAGTTGTGAATGTCACAATGTCTGTCGATCTTGAAAGTCTCCATGGAAGAGTCATAAAGAACATAGATTCCAAGAAGCTCTCAAAAATACGGTCCACTTCGGTGGGAGACTACGTGATTCAAGGACCATGGATTGGAAGAGTTGACAAAGTGGTTGACAGCATCACAGTTCTGCTCGATGATGGAATGAGCTGTGAGATAGATGCAACAGACCAAGAAAAGCTGGTCCCACTTCCTCCAAACTTACTCGAAGACCCATTGTATCCCTATTATCCGGGTCAGCGAGTACAAGTTTGGCTCCCCATTGCTGCTTCTCGGTCAACTCGATGGCTGTGTAACGTATGGAAGGAGAATCAAGGTATAGGGACCATCTCTGCTGTAAAAGCAGGTACCGTGTATGTCGAATGGCTTGCTTGTGCGCTTGTTGGTTGTGATGAAGTTAGCCCTCAGACACCCCCTCCATCTGTACAACATGCGAATGACTTGATCTTGTTGCCGATATTTCTGTCTGAGAACTGGCAGCTTGGTGACTGGTGCAGAGTTCCTGCAATTGACACAAAGGAAATATTTGCTATTGGGAAAACGAAGACTACAGTTGATGTTGCTTGGCAGGATGGTACGAGCTCGTTTGGTTTGTATTCACAGTCTCTACTCCCAGTGAATGTTGTCAATGCTCATGAATTCTGGCCTGGGCAGTTTGTTCTCGAGAAGAGTGCAAATGATGACGAACAGCCTGGTTCTGGTGGCCAAAAATTGGGTGTTGTTAATGCTGTGGATGCAAAAGAACATACAGTCAAGGTCAAGTGGAAATCTTTTGTGGAAACGAGTGATGCAGGGAGTGATTTGGTGGAAGAAGTTGTAAGTGCATATGAATTAGCTGAACATCCAGATTACTCGTACTGCTATGGAGAGATTGTGTTTAGAGCTCAGGTTGATGATCATCCTTCTGAAGATTACACATCATGCATTGGTTTTGTATCGGGTTTTAAAGATGATGGCATTGAAGTGACTTTTGCTTCTGGCGTTGAAACCACTGTATGATCTCTTATCCATTTTTTTCTTTTGTGTACTATTCTCATAGCATTCATTTTCGATGGAAGATCTCGTTCTTACCATCCTTTCCTTCGTTTACTACTGTTTATATGACTATCAGTTTTACTCTAATCCACTATATATAATGTTTTGTTTCGCACGACACAGGTTGCACCAAATGACATTTTTCGGGTTGAGAAACATGAGGGTTCTACTATGACTCCCCTGCAAGACTATGATGCCGAGGAACTGAACCCAGTGGCAGTTGACCATGGCAAACAAATTGTCAACCATGTTGTAAGGCTCCTCTGTGATCTCTCTCTTTCACACTGTCTTTTTTCCATCTATACACATGTACACAGAAGCTTCAGGTGAACTGTAAATGGTGCTTTCTTGTCAGTGACTGAATAATAAACCAACGAGCTTTTGCTGTCAATTTGTTTTTTGCATTTTCCCTTTCGTTTCAATTTCTTTTTGGTTTCTGAACATGTTGGAAGTACATAATTTAAGAACTATCACTAAACCACTGCTCTATTATCAGGATTCACCAGATTCCAACAGGATGGGAGAGGATAGCAATAACCATCCGTGGGAGTCTAGTTCTTCGTCTTTTCTTCATCCGTCCACTTTTGGAATCTTCACAAGCTTAGCAGCAAGGATATTTGGTTCTTTCGGTTCTTCATCAATGTCTAATCCTTGCTGTGTTGCTGAAGATGCAGATCAACTCGAGCCATTTGAAAAGGAACGAGTACCTGAAACTTGTTCTGGTCTCTCAACTGACATGAAACCTTTGGCAGCAGTTGAGATGCAGAGATTCGAAACGACTTGCCCAGGACAGGAAGTTGTTGAAGTTGACGAGAACCAAGGATTTAAAACCTCTTCTGCCACACAGGGTGGAGAATTAATCAAGAAATTTGATATGGTGAATGATTGCTCTGACCATCACTTTGTTGATGGTGCAGGCAAAGAAATGACGATGTCTCAGGTAAGAAGACACTTTCTTGTCAGTAGATTGTAAGGAAAGGTGTGTCAAACAAAGTTACGCTCTAACAAGTAAGCACATCTTCAGAGCTTGATATTTGACATCCCCCCGCTACTTTTTCCAGGTCAAAAGAAGTTGGTTGAAGAGGGTACAGCAGGAATGGAATGATCTAGCAGAAAATCTACCTGGTTTAGCACTTTTACATCTTATGTCCACCTGTTCAACGTAGTTTTACTTCGTTGTCACTCACTCAGGTCTTTTGACAACCTAAACAGAATCCATTTATGTCCGGATCTATGAGGAGAAGATAAATCTCATTCGAGCAGCCATTGTTGGAGCACCCGGAACTCCATACCACAATGGCCTTTTCTTCTTCGACATACATCTCCCTGCTCAGTATCCCCATGAACCACCTGTAAGTGGAAGCTTCACCATTCTTGCTGCATTTTTTGTCTGTTCATATTTTGATAAGTGACTGAAGAACGTTGTGTTTACTACAAATTTCGATGCAGCTGGTGCACTATCGTTCTGGTGGGCTCCGCCTCAACCCCAATCTGTACGAATCAGGAAACGTCTGCCTCAGTCTCCTAAACACATGGACAGGCACAGGCACTGAAGTCTGGAATCCAGAGAGCTCCAGTGTTCTTCAAGTTCTTCTCTCCCTCCAGGCGCTTGTCCTCAACGAAAAACCTTACTTCAACGAAGCTGGCTATGATAAGCAGATCGGTAAAGCCGAGGGAGAGAAGAACTCTATAAGCTACAACGAGAATGCCTTCCTCGTTACCTGGAAGTCCATGCTTTACTTGCTTCGCAAACCACCAAAGGTAAAAGAAAGGCCTTTATCATGTCTGCAAACTATACATCAATTCCAATAAGTAGACTAACTTATGGTCGTCGGCCTATCTCAAATGGCAGCATTTCGAGGCACTAGTTGAGGAGCACATCAAGCAACATTCCCACGACATTCTGGCGTCCTGCAAGGCTTACCTGGATGGACGAAAACCATTCCCAGCAGACCGGCAGCTTGGAGAGCAAGGAACTCTAAAGGGGAGCTCTGATGGGTTCAAGATCATGCTTGTTAAGCTCTTCCCGAAGCTCGTCGAAGCCTTTTCTGGCAAAGGAATCGATTGCAGCCAGTTCATGGAGCCTGATAAATAAAAAGTCAGTGTCATAAAGACTCTCCCATTTACTGTAACAAGTATCAGAAAATCCTAGTGGCAGACTAGGAATTATGGTTTGTGATGTGTGTATGTTTGGTTTTGTGAGATAAAATTGGAGTGAATAAATGAGGGGCGAACATCGTAGTGGTATGCCCTCCCTGGTGTAATTTAATATATGTTTTAAAATGTATAATTGCAGGTTATGTAAAATATGAAGATTTGTAAAATAATTATTATCATAATAAAATAAAAATGAACTGGTTTTGTGTGCTTATTGGATTTGTGGAACTCTAACGATTCATTTCTTTGCTATCCTAATTTTTATTACTAATTAAAGAGATCATACGAGAAATTATAATTATTTTGAGAATTTTATAATCATTATTCAGAGAACATACAAAAAAGTACTCAATACGATTAATATGCGTTCAATTATTTATACGTGTTTGAGAGTTTTGTAATCATTATTGAGAGAACAATCTCACATGAAAATCTTCAATACAATTGATTATTGCCTTCAATCTATTTTTCACCATAATATCGGTGTTTGTAATGTCTAAATTTTCCTCTATTGTATGCAAAGTAATCAAAAAGTGCAAACATTATGCTATAAGGCCAATAAGAAATTGACACGTAGGGTGGTTCTTCAAGTTAAACCGTTGTTCGAAAATAGCAGAAGTAAAAGTACTCGAGAAGGAATGGTTGAATCTGTTTGAAACCAAAAATTCCAACACAAATTACAAGTCTCTCCCGCGCCGCGTCCACAGAGCTTTCCCTTAACCGCTACGATTCGCCATCTCCGATCGAGCCTCGCGGTATAAATTTCACTAGCCGGACGGAGCTACGATTCCCATTTCCCCCGATCTTAGGAAGAGACCGGAGGAGGAGAAAAGAACACACAAATGGCCGGCCGATTCGGCTTCGGGTCATCTGCACCGGCGAAGATGAGAGTCACCAACACTCCTTCCACGGATCTCGCCCTCACCAACCTCGCTTACTGCTCCGCCACCGATCTCCACAACTTCGCCGTCCCCGGGACCAAGCTGTTCATGGCCTTGATCGCCGACAGAGTCGTTCTCAATCTCTCATATCCTTTCGCACTTCCTCGCTGCTGCTTCATTTCTCTAATTTCTGCTCCTAGATTCGATAATCCGTATCTTCTGCTCAATGAAAATTGATCGGCGAGCTTGATTTTTCGGTCGAGTGAATTTGGCCCCATCTGATTTTTGGTTGTAGAATGGGAATTTGCTAAGTTGAAGCTTTTAGGGAATCGATTTTTCAGCTCCTTCTTCATTTGTGTGCCGATTCTATTCTCTGATGTGTTAATGGTGATGGCATTCTTTGTTGTGTATTGTCGTGGTTTTGTGTTCTTTCAACCTATGTTTGTGGCCTTAACCAAGAATTACGCCCCATCAGAGCATTCAGAGTGAGCATATTGCGCTGAATGCTGTTCAACGTCGGCATATTCAAGTTTCTTCCGGCGATGAAGTGTCAATCACCAGGTGATTACTGATTACTCCTTTGCATTTTCTCTCTGTGGCGCATTTGGATTTTTTTTTTTTTTTTTTTTGTTATTTATTGTTCTTTGGGTATCTTGCTTACAGGTTTATTCCTCCTGAGGACTTCAACCTTGCATTGCTTTCACTTGAGCTGGAATTTGTGAAGAAGGGAGCCACTAGAACTGAACAGGTAAAGCGCATTGGTGCCTATTTTTCGTTTTAAGCATGGGTAACGGTTGGCAAGTATCCTATTGCTTTATGCAGCTTAACTGGATTAGCATGGGTTCATACTTGTAGGTTGATGCTGCTGTGCTGTCAAATCAGCTTAAGAAAAGATTTATGAACCAGGTAAAGCGCATTCCTCTACTTATTGGATCTTTTGAACTGGATTTTGGCTTGATTCCCATAGTTTTTAGGCACAGTTTATGTTATTGGTGGTATTACTATTGAAACTTGAGGCCTGTGTACTGGAATAGAGTGTAGGTGAACTGAGAAACCCTGTATTGTTTGACGCATTGGCTACCGCTGAGGTACGCTATGCTATATTCGATAACCAGGCTCCTTAGCCTGTTTGTGAGATAGACTGGAGTTAGCATTGAGAACTTTACGTTGTGGAAGAAACTTGGGTCTGGACTGATTCTTATGAAGAATTCCAGCCATGAACACATGACTGGAACTCTAGTTCCTTTCGAAATGTATTCATGCTTTTGACGACTAAGGACAAAAAACAGGAATTTGAGAAAGCTGTTAAAATTATGGTGCCTGACCTGTTTATATTGGTCAGTGTGTGGAGCACTCGTTGTGTTAGAATAGAAATTTAGTGTTTCATCTAATCTAATGTTGCTTCCTGAAAATGTATTGTTAATTAAGGCCTTTTTTGTTGGGTATAGATTTTACGGATGTCATGTGATTTCACTTTAGATGTAAAGAAAAATGTTCTCTAGTTAATTTCTTGTTCTCTGCAGATTATGACTTCAGGGCAAAGAGTCACATTTGAGTATCATGGGACAAACTACATTTTTACCGTTAATCAAGCCACTGTGGAGGGCCAAGATAAATCTGGGGATGTAGAAAGAGGGATGATAGCTGCTGACACGTACTTCATTTTTGAAGCACCAACTGCTAGTGGCATAAAGGTTAATTTATCATTCTTGGCATAGATATTTTTACTCTCTACTGTTATCTCATATTGTATTAGATGCTGGGTACAATCTCTACCATGTCATGAATAATCCAGGCTGTCATGGTAAAACATTCAGCAGAGCTTGAATGACTAGTTCATTGACGTCACTTGCCTGTTCCGACTTTTTTATTTGTTATTATTGTTATTACCTTTTTTACATCCTGGAGTTAGCATGGAGAACTTCTTTCTTGATCTCAGGATTTGATGCCTAGGTGAAAATTGATTTCTCTATTGACTTCCATATGTTTGCAGATCATTAATCAACGTGAAGCAGCCAGTAGCAACATCTTTAGGCATAAGGAGTTCAATCTGGAGAAACTTGGCATTGGGGGCTTGGGTGCAGAGTTTGCAGATATATTTCGAAGAGCTTTCGCATCTCGTGTTTTTCCACCTCATGTGATAAGCAAGTAATGAAATTTTGTTATCAACTTTCTCAAAATGTATTCATTTTTTAGCATATATATTCAATCTTTTGACAAAGGACAATGTCATAATTCAGGTTGGGGATTAAGCATGTGAAAGGCATGCTGCTTTATGGACCTCCTGGTACTGGGAAAACTTTGATGGCTCGTCAGATTGGGAAAATGTTGAACGGAAAGGAACCTAAGGTTTGAAAATTTTCTGAGCCTCATATTTTGTTTCTTTTCTGTCATCAGTTTTGGGTATCTTGTAAATCATAACTGGTCCTTGGTTAGTTGTGCATACGAGGAACAAAAGGGTTTTTCTAACTACTTAGTTTAGGAACTTCTATTTACTCAACCAAGGAAACTTCTGAAATTTCACCTCTTTCTTTCAATGGAATTTTACCAGATTGTTAATGGTCCAGAAGTCCTCAGCAAATTTGTTGGTGAAACTGAAAAGAACGTCAGAGATCTGTTTGCAGACGCTGAAAATGACCAAAGGATGCACGGTAAGAACCCTCTGTCTTCAAGTGTTGTTAGCATAACTTGATCTTTGTATTTTAATTGGACTGAAAAATGTTTCCAGGAGATCAAAGTGAACTGCACGTGATAATCTTTGATGAAATTGATGCTATATGCAAGGTACAGTACTTCTCAACTTTGCTCTGGAATGCAGTGTTTCTTGAACTTTAGTTGCAGCAATGATGAAAACAAAAGCTTTGAAAGCAACCTCATTATGTAAATACTTTCCACTATATTATCCTGAATGCAGATAAAACCGATTTTCATTTCACCAAGGTCTACTTCATCAGCTGTTAACTTATCTGTGTTCTTATTGCTACAATTGTCAGTGGCTTTGGGTTTTGTGCTTGTTTCTCCAAAATCTTAATATCATTGAGGGGTCATTTATTTGTTTGGCTTTGCAGTCAAGAGGATCAACAAGAGATGGCACAGGAGTTCATGACAGTATCGTAAACCAGTTGCTTACAAAGGTAAGGGATGGTTGCCTACTTCCTTTACTAAAACGCCTAAACAGAGTCAATCTCATTATAAATTATTTCTCTATGAATTTTAGATCGATGGTGTGGAGGCACTGAATAATGTTTTGCTTATTGGAATGACCAATAGAAAGGATTTGCTTGATGAAGCACTTATGAGGTTAGTCTCCCGCTCTTCAGTTACAAATTTTGGTTGACAGTGTCCAAGGTGCGATCTATTATCCAGTATCAGAAACAAATAAGCTGAGATGGATAAGATTCTTCATATTAACCATAATTATCAAGCGAAGGATGGAATTCTGACAGATTCTGTCTCTGAATAATCTCTATTTTGGTGTACAGACCAGGCCGGCTGGAGGTTCAAGTTGAGATTAGTCTTCCTGATGAAAATGGTCGTCTTCAGATTCTTCAAATCCATACAAACAAAATGAAGGAGACCTCTTTTCTTGCTCCTGATGTGAACCTTATGGAGCTTGGTATGTCTTCCTAATGTCTACTTATGAGTGCTAATCATCTAACTTCGTTATGCTTGCATGGAATCTGTGCTTTGTTATATCAAACATTTGTATGCTCGCTAAGAAAGGCTTTATTAACTAATCCATGATGAAATAGATGGCATGGCATTTCTCTCTGAAGTTTCTTCCAATAGTGGCAGAGAACCTGCATGTCATGGCAATTCATTGAGTATATATTTGTTTTGTATTTGGCAGCTGCTCGCACAAAGAACTATAGTGGTGCAGAACTTGAAGGTGTCGTAAAAAGTGCTGTGTCATTTGCCTTGAATAGACAATTAAGTCTGGACGACTTGACCAAGACAGTTGATGAAGAGAGTATCAAAGTCACAATGGACGATTTCTTGCAAGCGCTCCATGATATTGTTCCTGCGTTTGGAGCTTCCACTGATGATCTTGAGCGGTGCAGGTAATACCTTAAAACAAAAAAGAGTTGATAATCTATTATCTAATCAAATCTTAGTCTATTGGACTTTGAACTCTTCTCATACTACATCGATTTTTTTGAACTTTCAAAGGCTCAATGGTATGGTGGACTGTGGCAAACGGCATCAGCATATCTATCAAAGGGCTATGCTGTTGGTGGAGCAAGTCAAAGTCAGCAAAGGAAGTCCGCTTGTTACCTGTCTTATGGAAGGAAGTAGTGGCAGGTAAGCAGCTGAAGCTCATCTATACTCTTGGTTCTGAAATTGTGTTACATTATTTAAATTCTCTGAAGTTGTTGATTATTGTCTTGTACAGTGGTAAAACTGCGTTGGCAGCAACTGTTGGCATCGACAGTGATTTCCCTTATGTCAAAATAGTAAGTCCTTCAATCAGCACTTGACTTCAACTTCTTGCTTCTTGAAGAAACCTCCTAATCATTTTCCCCTATTCTCATAGGTCTCGGCTGAAACAATGACTGGCCTCCATGAAAGCACCAAGTGTGCACACATTGTCAAGGTTCGTCCAAGTTCTTTCATTCCATATGTTTCCCTTCTCCTACCTCCAAAAATGTAGAGCATTTCGCATCACCTGGGCTTATATTCTATAAATTTCAGACAACTGTAAATTTCTTTAGCAACATTCATTCTGATTTTCCCTTTAGGTATATGTCTGTCTATTGCCGTAGTTAATGTTTGTCATGAGAGCCCTGTATAAGTGTGGCTCATTGTCTGTTTCTGTTTCCTTGCAGGTCTTTGAAGACGCTTACAAATCACCACTAAGCATCATAATCCTCGATGACATCGAGAGGTAATCATGCTTTCGACTGCCATTTCGTCGTTGACTCCCAAGTCTTTATTATGTATGATTGAAACCGACACTCACAAAATGATGTTGCAGATTGCTGGAGTATGTAGCTATTGGTCCTCGTTTCTCAAACATTATTTGTCAGACCCTTCTGGTCTTGCTCAAACGTCTTCCTCCCAAGGTGAGCTTTTCATCCCCTCGTCGAAATAAAATCACTCGTTAGAGCAAGTAAATCTCTAAATATCCTGCCACATCAAGCCATTGAGTTAAATTTTCCCCCTCCAACTCTCCAGGGAAAGAAACTCCTGGTGTTTGGGACAACCAGTGAGGTAGAATTCTTGGACTCAATCGGCTTCTGCAATGCATTCTCCATCACTCATCACATCCCAACTCTCAAGACCGACGACGCCAAGAAGGTGCTGCAACAACTCAACGTATTCGCCCCACAGGACATCGATGCAGCGGCAGAAGCAGTGAACGATGTAAGACCTCAACAACTGCTTTCCACCATATGTCACCTTCAGCATCCTTTCCTTTTGTTTTGTTGGATACTGACTTGCTGTTCTGCAAACCCAGATGCCCATCAAGAAGCTGTACATGTTGATCGAGATGGCAGCACAAGGCGAGCACGGTGGATCGTCGGAAGCTATCTACTCCGGCAAAGAGAAGATCAAGTTCAATCACTTCGTTGACTGCCTCCAAGACGTTATTCGATACTGAGCAAGGAGGGTTCTTGTGATATTGTACTTTTGACCATGTTCTTGTCTTCATTTTTGGAATTTGCTTGGATGTCTGGTTTGTCCTCTCTATAGGCTTTTTGCGATGAAACTAGAACATGTAACCCGAGTTTATTGCACTATTGCGACTAGTAAGGAATCACTGCTAGTGCTACACAATTTTTTTTTTTAGTTACAAATGATTTGTGTCTCGTTGGTTTGATATCTGTCGAATTCATGTGTTACGTATTTTATTATTTCAACCACAAATTAGATTTCGAGCACTCGATTCTTTTGTAGTCTTTCTGTTTGATTCTAATATCAAGAAACTTGTTAATGAAGCTTTTCTGAAATTCTTCTAAAACATCGAATCATTTTACACTTTAGTGTCGAGATATGTAATGACTAGTGAGATACGTATCCTGTCAAGGAAAAGGGTACAAAAATTCAAATTGAAGACTAGTCATACTCAAGCGCGAAACACGTAGTCTTACATATTTCAAAAAGTAGGATCATGTCTTACCCGTTAAATTATGACTTGGCATCGTAAACCAAATTCCATACTCACTAAATAAAACGTGAACGATCGATTTATATTTTCCACATTATTATTATATCTTAAACCGATATGGTAATCGATAATATCTTATCTTCACAAACACTATAATGAAGAAATTTTCCCTTTTTATAGATCATTACCATTTACCAAGAAAAGCGAGGGAACAAAGACAGCTTGCTCTCTATAGATCACAACAACAACAATAATAATAAACAACCCATAAACAAAAGAAAAAAAGAAAACGGAGAAAAAGAGAGAACTAATCATACTTTTCTCTCCACGAATAAACGAGAAAGAAAACCCAGGACAGAGCCAGCAAGAAATCGCCAACTGTCTGCCGGAGCCCGTCCCAGGCCAGAGCCTCCACCCTCGTCCCGAAGTAAACCCTCCACATCGCCATGAAAACGTGGAGCACCGTGCAACCTTTGGCGAAAAAGGTCTGGAAATCCCGGTCCCTGACGAACGAAACCATGAACAGGATGAACCCGATCGCGAACAGGAGCAGGCCCGAGAAAGAATCGGAGGTCCGGATCAAGATCTGGTCCTCCGGCGTCGACCCCATCAGCTTCGCCGCCGTCTCGGCCCCGTGGGTGAAGGTGTAAATCTCCCTCATGCTGAACACCATCAGGGTCCCGCTCGTGATCGCGATTGCGGAGTGGAGCAGGCAGATCAGCCTGAACGCCAGCAGCGGCGGGGACGGCGGCTGCGGTGACGGCGGCATTAGAAGGAGGAGAAGAAGAAGGAAGGAAGGAAGAAACGTTTCTTTCTCTTGCGATTCCGATTTCAGCTCCCCTTTTTCTGCGAGAAGATTGCGATCGGAGATTTCGGGAGGGAGGGATTGTGATTGGGTTCTTCTTTGTTGGGTTGGTGTGAGCTGGTAATGGTATGGGTGAAGAGATGAAGAGAATTGAAAACGGTGCGAGTGAGTCGAGTTAAGGAAGGGAGCGGGGCTGAGCGAGTTAGAGAAGGAAGTGGACTCGGGGGGATTCCATTTTGCCTCATGATTCGTCTTACGGGGTCAATTACAGGAATGGTCATTAAGGTTTGGATTCACTGACAAATTGGTCACCCCATTTTGATTCTAAATAAAATGTCGTTAGAGAGATTCTTTCTTCCTGCAATTTAATCCGCTCTGAGCTTATATAACGAATCATACTTTTGAGAAGATGACTTCTTGTCGGGTTTCGAGAAGGGAAACAAGAATGGAGTCAATGGACTAAATCCGAACAAAATAAGACTCTCAGGTCCGGGTCACCCTCTTGTCAGAAAGTACATTGTTCTCAGCAACTAGAGATATGGAACCGCAATCTTGGATATGCCCACCTCCAACTTCTCCAACCTTGAACATTCTGGCATTCAGATTCAATCACCAAAATAAGGATTGCCATGTAGTTTAGCTTCCTTCACCGTCATCATAATCGATTAATCTTCTACTTGCATCGGGTGGATATAACTTCTTCTTTTTTTTCATAGGAAAGCTATTGCTTCTTTAATTAGTGTTTCTAGTTTTCCTCTCATCTCGAAGCCTTATAGCCCCAAGCTTCTTGTATTGGAGTCGATTTTGAGCATAACTAATGACGACCTCCTCCGTTTTGTTATATTTTGTCGTGTGCCTGATCGAGACGAACGATTTCCTCGTTGGAAGCGGACCTCGGACAGTCACAACTTTGCTTTCCTCTTTTCATCGTCTCTCTCTTCGACTAGAGGATTGCACAAAAATGATGCATGTTCTCCTCGAAGCATAATTAACATCCATGTGTCTTTTGTTATTAATTTGAGTGCGTTAGTGGGATGATTTGGATGGAAATACGATAAAGGATAAAGACATCACATATTGTTATGTTAGTTACCCTAAATGGAGGGACAAATCTATTTAAGCAAAAAATAGTGACTAGCTTGTTAATGCTTCCAAAGTTTAGTACTATTTGAATAATTGACCCCCATTCTTGATTCTTCTTTCCTTTTCTTGAGTATCTCGTCTCGTGGGACCCACTGCCCACCTGGCCTCTGGATTGGAGGGTGCCGACACCAAAAGTCTAAAACGATGGGCTGGGCTTGCGTTTACCGTGTAATAGACTGACAAAACGACAAGACTTATAATCCCGTTAGATAAATATCACAAATTTATGATTTTTGTTTGATTGGGTCATTTATAGGAAATATCTAACTATCACACCTTTTTTTCCCCAAGCTGTAGTAGTGGGTCTCTAATGGATATTGTTATTTTTCTAGGAATGATGTTGTCAATGGATAAATAATAGTTAATCTAGTTTAGTGACCAGATAAGAGATTCCTCAGGGTGTTAAAAAAAATTGCTTTATTACGTGTAATTGTATTTTGAAATTTAATACATCCGGAAAAAGGTTGAACATACAAATATGAAAATATTGTTTTTCAACGATGATAAGGTCAGTTTAATTTATATTGCTGATCAAACGAGATTGAAATATCCAAAAAAAAAAAAACATCATAGAATGTCAAAAACCAACTACCTATATTATCATTCAACGGAAAAAAAGACCTGTATTATTGCTATCACTATTATAAAAATTCAAATAATACTGATGACCTATATGAGCTATGATTTCCTTCTTTACAGTCGTAGGTTATATGAACTGTTCGGTTTCTTGTGAATGATGATTTTGGCATGCATGATGAAATTTGTATGTTTTTTTATCTTTGCCTGTCTTTTCTCTTATTATCCTCCCGAACACAACTTTGAAATCTACCCGCGCTTTGATTTGGGTAACTCCTGTTTACCACACAACATGTAATTTATACAACCGTAGCTTGTAGTTTCGTCATGAGCTTGGCCAATAATCGTGATTGTGTGAAACTAATAGTTGAAAATAGAAACGTCAAATCATTCACAAGAGATTGTTCATTGAACACTTATATGTTAGAAATGAAACGCTTTGATTCATAAATCAACCTAGCTTTAAATTTGCTCCATTACTCGTGGTGGAAAATTGTAACGGTTAAAAAAGGAAAAATTAACCGTCGCAATATATTTTTGTACTAACTACCAAGAAAGATTCCACACACCAATACCTGGGAACCAATAGATTCTCCCCTTTTTTTACCCCAACCACAATGCAGATGGGCAAATCTAGAGTCATCTCTGTCGACGGGAAAAATTACAAATACGTTCCTTTCATATATTTCAAACCAAGGCCCTACCCTAACCATTATTTTTGTGCCTTTAATTTGTTACAACTTCTCAAGTATCAATCATCAAAACAATGAATTGGGTCCAATTGGCATCTTATGGTACACTAGTTCTAGACTATTCCCCATTCTCCCGGGTAAGAGATTCCCTCATATCTGTATTCATCGTCGACATTACAAAAAAAATTATTGAGGGTACAAGATTTCATGGGGTTTTTTTTTAATGTAAGACTACCGTTATCATTTATCAATACTGATATCGAGTTGTGGCCTAAGCGCTTTATATCGAGTTGGTTAGCAATTCCAGTTTCCACATATGATGTGGGATTCTATGAATCCCACCAACTCTGTCTAAGTCTTACATATGATTCCTTCCTTTCGATTATATGCATGCTCTTGACTATGTGATTTCAACAAATCTCTTCTTCTGCGTACTCTCATCCACGAGCGAGACCATGTTACGGGAAAGGCTTCACATTCACACACGTGCGACGTAGCTCAAATTCGTCGATTATAGCTCAGTCTCCAAAATACCCCTTGTCATCCTTGAGAATTTACAAAAATGCACCCGATGATCCCATACTTTATATATGAAGTGATCACGGATCTCATAGATTAATTATTTTGTCGGTAACATGCAAAGATAAATTAATAAAAAATTGCCCATAAGGCCATAGCACAGTAAGAACATTCATTCATTCCCCCCATCTCGGATTGCATGAAACAAGCTATAAATAATTAATAAGCACAGGGTTATTAACCATAATCAGCTTGTTTGGATATAATTCTGTTGGAAAATGAATTCCATTTCTTGTGAGAATCTGAATTCAAGTGAGATGACTCCAGTTTTCAACAACTTGCCATTTGGTCTTTTAACTTTCCATTCCATCTATCAAATCCTCAAATAATTACCTTTAACACACTACAAAAAAAACCAACTATAGTGACATGTTTTTAAAGACAGTTTAAAAAAATGTCAGTAAAACCATTCACTTTGAAGGTTTTTGTGACATTTATGGTAAGTGTCAATATAATATATTTATTGTGACATTTAATTTTGACATATTCGATTGTCGTAGTAATAAATATGTTTTTCTGTCATTTAGAAAAGTGTCACTAAAAGAGTGTCAAAATAGAGAAGTATTTGTGACATAAGTTGGTAACATAACTAAATGTCACAGTAGTTTAGTTGTTTGTCTGACATTTAGAGAAATGTCACGAGTGAAATGTTAGTATAACATATATATTGTGACATTTAACGTTGACATTTACCATTGTCACGGCAATTAACACGTTTTTCTGTCATTTAGAAAAGTGTCACTAAAAAAGTGTCAAAATATAGAAGTATTGCTGACATAAATTGGTCACGTAACCAAACGTCACAATAGCTTAGTTGCTTGTCTGACATTTAGAGAAGTGTCATGAGCAAAGTGTCAGTATAGCATATATATTGTGACATTTAATGTTGACATCTTCAATTGTCACAACAATAAACACGTTTTTCTGTCATTTAGAGAAGTGTCAACTAAAAAGTGTCAAAATAAAGAAGTATTTGTGATATAAGCTAGTCACATAACTAAATGTCACAATAGCTTAGTTGCTTGTCTGACATTTAGAGAAGTGTAGCTAGTGAAGTGTCAGCATAGCATATAGATTGTGACATGTAACGGTGACATACAAGTGTTGCTTGTCTGACATTTAGAGAAATGTCACGAGCGAAGTATCATTATATAATTAATAAGGATGATATTGAAAAAAATTATACATATTCTTCTCGTTTAATTAATATCTTCTTTTCCATGGAAAAAAATCAAAATTATTGTAATGGTTTCACCCCCTATTCACGACAATCTAGGTTATTTGATTCGATTCAAATTGTTTGTTTGATTAGTTCACGGTCCACTCAAAACTTAATTGAATGGTACCCTATATAGTTTGACTCATTGTTGATCCTGTAAATTATCTTAAATATGAAAGAAATTTCTATCAAAATTGCATTTGAATCGGTCAAAAGCGAACTAATAAACTTGCTTCTTTGTGATTTGAACCCTCCATTTTTATTTACTTTTGGTTCGATCACATATTCTAATTTTTTCTCTTTCGAAACCAAAATGATGGATAAGGATAATCACTACTTGTTATGCAAAACCCTATTCTCTATCTTTAATTATTTTCAAAACCTAACAATTAATCTATTTACAAGCTACCCTTAATTTGTATTGATTTTATGGTTGTACGACAAGTATTGAAAGTGTCTTTTCAGTTTTGAGTTACATCAAGAACAAATTTAGAAGTCAAATATGCGTTAGTTTATGAATGATTGTCTAGTAGGATATACCGAGACAAATTTGTTGAGCAGTATAGACACCAAATGTATTTTATATTTTTTTAGAATACAAAAATAAATCATGGATATTTTAAACTTGTACGAGTTGGGAATTTTCTTATTTAAGAATTATTTAATTTATTTAATTTATTTAATTTTTAATTTAATTTTACTTTATTTTTTCAAAGATGACACACCTATGTAAAATTCCTGAATCCGCCACTGCCTATCCCTCTTGTCGGTGACTAGAAAGTTTCCTCAAGCGGCTGTTGATGGTGGCGGAGAAGAGTTCTTGGACCTTTTGGAGTGCTAGTTAAGAGAGAAGAGAAGAAGATTATGGATTTTGACCGAGGTCGTTTATCTTTTTTTTTTTTAATTTGTTGCTTTGTTTCATTTTGTTTTCACTGTTCAGTTTTTTCTCCATAAAATTAAATAATTTATTATTTAATGATATGACGATCATGCATCAGTACAATGGTATTCTCTAAGAAGATGACTCCATACATAACAATCCTTCAAGTACAAGCTAAATCAAGTACAATGCTAATACATTGATTGGAATTTGAATTCATTTTTAGGGTGGGGATTGCTCAAGATACCTCAGATTTTACCTACTTAATATGTTTGATAATATTTAATGTAAAATGAAGAGCACACTGATACACTTTGAAACACTAATGATTTCATTTAATAAAGACTATCCAAGTGTAAAAAAAAAAACCAGGTCACTGAGAAGACGATGATCCATAACGGCTTCAATCAGATGGAAAAGGTTAAAGTGAATGTTGATACGTTGTTCAACTTCTAGGATGAGTTCCAACCATCATCATAATTTCCAGTTTTCGTCATAACATTCGACGAGCAGACAATACGACAAGCCCTTTTGACACACATGTTCATGGGCTTTGGTAGCCATGATCTCGTTAAGCGCTAAGAAGGGTGAATCAAGAAAACGATTATCATTGTGAATTTTTGTAGGGCACACTCTGCGATAGACTAAGTTGTTAGTGAATGTCAGTGATATGATTTTTGTTAAACATAACAGAATGGGATTGGACCCTTGTATTCCATTTAAGTTCTTCTCTGTTCCCATGTAGTGTTATTCATAGCAAGTTAACAACATTATTTTGCTCTTGTTGAGTCTTGTTGTATACATTTTTGGAAAATAAAGAATAATAACTAACTCATAAACCGATAAACAAGAATGTGTTCTGAGTGAAGGTATAGATTGGTCTTTATTGCCATTTCAAGAAATTGAGCTTCGAAATACTGGAACAAAAAGGGTCACCACCATTTTTTGCAGAACTTTTCAGCAGCAGCCCATGATAATTTACTGACCCATGACAACAAGTTTTCTCTATATACAACAAAAAATTGAATATCGATAAATTGAATTTTTTTTGTGGGAGGTTGAAAAAAGTAAGTAAAGGGTGGTAATGGTGGAAAAACAAAACTTAGAAGGTTCTCTGAGGTAGAAGAACTACAACACTCATTTTCTCCTTAGGCACAATTGGTGGTCTCTCTGATCCCCTCAGTGAAACTGGACTCTTGCAAAGAAGGGAAAAGAAGATCAAAGAATGATACTTTCTTTCTCTCTTTCAGGACAAAAATTCCCTTCCATCAGCCATCAAATCAGCTGATTGGTTCCCCCTCCCGGTCACCTGCAACGACTTTCCGGTGCCGCCTTGCTCCGACCCTTCTGCCACGCCTCACTCCTCCTCGTCGCATCGGAGTTTCCTGAGGTATTGTGGGCGGAGGCAGCATTTCTGGCAGTGCAGGTGGAAGAGGCAATGGGGGAGGTGGAGACATGTGCTCAAGAACTTCTCTATGGTATTTCTGCATCATAGGCCAACGCAAAGATTATTACAAATGGAGAAAGGCAAAATATTTTCCATGATCAAGTTTTCTTGCGGCGCAAGGGACTCTTACCTGAACCACAAAGTTCCTTCTTTCACAATCCAAGAACATGTTCACAGTCCAATTCGTCTTTGCCCTGATCTTATCCCTCACTGTAGCGAAGCTGATCTGGTCCCTTGAAGTAAATCGGTCAACTTCGTTGTACCAAAGACAAGCAAAGAGGTTGCTGATAGGAACATGCTCCCTAATTACGACACATCCTTCAGGAACATCTGCAGAATGAGATAATCGACAGAGAGAACTTTGTATTAAGGAGCCAGAAAGTATACAAGAATAGACAAGGGATATGTCTCTTGAACCCTACCAGATGTAATAGGAAGCTTATCCAAAGTGTAAGGGGTTAAGCCTTCCTTTTTGTAGAATTCAATCTGGAAGTCGATGGATGCATTATCATACTTCCCAGCAGCTTTGTTTGCCTCGGCTTCGATGAAGACATCAAAGCGTTTGTAATGTCGAGAGATGGCAAAAGTGGCATTTTTTCTCCACAGATGCCTGAGAGAGTAATGGAAGGCAGGACAAAAAGACAAGAAAAAAGGACGGAGTAAGTAAATAGGGGTCGACACAAGCTAATTCTAAATCACAAACCAAATTGAGGAAAGAGGCAATTCCAAATGTTTCATGAAAACCCGAATGGAGATAACAGCATAATCCAGGGAATTATTCAACAAGTCATCAAACAGAGCACATAGAATCACACGTCATTATTGGTTTACTGGCTATAATCCTGTCAGAGAATGCTTTATCTTATGCCTCCTGAGAATGCCAGACAGATCGTGGGAGGAAGAACCAGAATAGGGAGTACCTTTCAAGAATTTGATATGGATCAACAACCAACTCAAGCTTCCCATCAATCCATATAGAGTAGCGGGCATTTGGAAACAGCCTATGGGCCAGCAGCTTCGGAATCTGCAATTGATAAAACCAATATCAAGCGATTTATAGAGAAAGTTCATGACATGTAAGCAAATGTTGTTTTTTGATGTACAAGGAGTACTTGGAATTTTATTCCACAATCACATCAATATATGCCTGTAGAAAGAACGACAATAAGGAATACAATAAGAGCAACAGTAAGGTACATGTAATCTGCAAGCCAAAGTTGAGATATGAATCCAAGAATCAAGAAATAAAACCATAACTAAAGTCGACATATGAATCACCTTTCCAGTGCGTCTCCCATCAGTGTACGGAGGGTTATGGATCAGAACAATTCTCCATACCCCAACCTTCCTGCTCTCCCCTAATTGCCCACTATTTTGCAGATAGGCTTCTGTTTCATCATCCACAAACATAAAGAAGCATACAGTTCTTTTCGAATACTCACTGATGTTGCTTGGCTGTTGTATATTATCAAAGGCCGCTGAAAGAAGAGAAGTTTTTAAGTAAAGCGATTTGAACAATCAAAAGGAATGGACAGTGGCATTTCATTCTACATTCTAATTGACCATACCAAATATTGCTGACATAACAACCACACCCCTGCACTGGTCCATTGCATCTAGATCAACCTCATCAATATCATATCCAGTATTCCGGCCAGCCCTCGTACCTCTAACAAACCTAAATCAACGCAGATATACAAGGGGGGATCACAACCGGCAGAATGTGCAACTCGCACAATAAATGCAACAGCTTCCAGCACTTCACATTACGATCGTTGGAATGTGATAAGAGAAAAAAATGGGAATCAGCTTACCCACAGTGCACACTCATTGATTCTCTAATATCAAAGGAGTCGGTTCTCTGAGCGAGTGTAGGATATCCACCGAAATCTGAGCCTCCAAATTCCCCATTCTTGGTCAGTGGATTTTCATAGATGTATGTCAAATTCTTCAGCACGGGAGAATAGGAGGGAAGCTTTGGCATCAAGGCAATTGCTTCCTCCACAGGCAGGTAACATACCGGACATGCTGATATACACGAAGAACAGAAAATACTTAGCATTGTGGAAAAGCACCATCATGATGGCTAAATCGAAAACCTCTCAACAACAATGACAGCTCTGGCCCTTTTTGAAACAACACCATATCCTGCTCCCTTAGAATTCTACTGTTGTCTGTTAGTACAAGGGCAGTATGCTATAAGAATTTACTAGCCAATACCAAAAGGAAAACAAAATAGCAAAAGAATTATGAAGGCAGAAGCACATTTGAGGGGTGGAAACTCACGTCTTGGTCCAGTTCTTTTCTTGTCCGCTGGTGGAGGAGGCAGAGTGAATGTATTGCATGGATGTCCTGGAGGCAGAGAGTAGCCCAAAAAATATGAAGGAGAAGGGGGTGGAAGAACCAAAGCTGTTGTGTTCTGTTTATGTACATTCACACTTATGTTCGGGCTGATCAAGTTTGGGACCTGGTCACCGTCCTGTACATCTCCACCTGAAAGACATGCAAAAATGTCGCCGTATGAAAATGTGAATAGAGCTCCGGCAAGAGCACCATTCTGTCAGCAAGCTACGATACAAGCTTGCATCGCCATTCCAGAAAGAAAAAAAAAAAACGCAGTACGATACAAGCTGTGACTGACAAAATACCCTCCACATCTGTTTTAAACAACCACCTGACGAGATAAGTGCTAACTACCATGAAACAACCTATATCTCATAATTATGATCACAATCCGAGTCCACCAACAATCTAAATTGAGCAGTATTTCCCCAAAAATTTAAAAACCATCTAATTGAGCATCTATTTTCAACCCCTAGATAACAGCATTGTTCTAATACAGAGGCAAAAGTTCCAGAGAGTCGATGTTCAAAGCGCGAATCACTCGAACAAAATACAATCAAGCAAAAAAAAAGGATGTAGGATTAAATGAATGGAGTAGATGGAGAGTATAACAGACCTTTTCCTAGATACAAAACCCAGATGAAAACTGCGGCAGAGATTACGCAGAGCATCAGCATTCCAACCTTCCTCTGGCTGCCGAACTTGAAGAGCCAAGGGAAGCATCTATCCTTCTCCTTGAACATCTTGGCGGGCTTAGTCCGAATTGTCGATTGAATCGGCAAGAGATGATGACTACCACCGTTCTGTTGTTGTTGTAATTGCTGCGGTTTGTCCAATGAACCATAACTCCCTGAGCGGATCCCCAATGAACCTCCGTTCATTGTCTCTCCTCCTTAAACCCCGCGCCCCAATAGCTTAATCCCCCTCTCATCTCATCTCCCTTTCTCTCCCCCTCAAATCAAGAAAACCCAAATCTCAATATATACCCAATGATCTCCAGACTTCGAACCCAGAAAAACGAGAGAGACACTCGAATTTCCCGCGAATTCAGATGAGACCCAGTTCAAGGAAAATTGGCCCCTAACTTCTGGGCCAACTTTTTTTGAATTCCCACTCTGAATCGAAGCTCAGTGACACACAACCCAAGATTGATTTCCCACTCGCCGGACGAACTAAAGCAAAACCCAGGAACAATTCAGTCCCAGAGAACAACCCAAGGGTGCCAAATCAGAGAAGAGAAAGGATTCACAGTGATGTGATTATAAAACCAGCCAACTTCCAGATCAAAGCTGAATGTGGTAAGAAGATGAAAGGATGATTCGCAGAAGGGGTAAAAATAAATAAAACTTGATAATGCCGAAACCGAGAAATATAGGGGAACTGGGAAGGGAAGGATGGTGGTGGGATCCTAATTGGATTCTGAATAAAATAAATCTAGGGTTTGTAATTGGAGGATGGATGGGATTGGGGTTTTTTATTTCTATATATCTTCTTTTTGTTTTGTTCTTGAGAGATGATGTATATCTAAAATGGTGGTCTGTGAAATCAAGGAGCGTGTTTTTTACTTTTTATTTTTAATTAATCCAATCTGGGATTTGTGTGGTAATTGTCTGCAAAAATTGAGGAACCAGCTCCGACTTTATATGAGTTGGAAAAATACAATTATTTTTGTTGTTTTTTTTTAAGTATTGATTAATTAGTTGTAATCAATTAATAAATGTGATTGTGAAAATATTTGATAGGGTAACAACCCTAAACCATGTGCGTGCCATGTTAACAATAACACATAGACGGCGATTGCTTGGCTTATGCCAATGGGGAAAGAAGACATTTGTCAAGATTAAAATGAATGTTTGATTTTAAAATTAAATAACTTTGATTATTTGGTGTTAATTGATAATGCTTGAAAGGAAGTATTTGATTTCCCACCATAGTTTACCTTTTTGTTTCTTTGTGCAATGACAAGGGGATTGCACTTCATGTGCAAACAAAAGTGTAATTATTTATGATAAACTAACAATTGTAACATTTCATAACTTAGTATAGAAGATATATTTTAACCACTTTCCTTTGAATTTGGATTAGCTAAAACTCGGGATGAAATTTGATTGAAGACGATATAGATGGTTGTCTCTGATTCTAACATTTTTTACGATTCTTTCGAATGGACAAAGCAAAAATTCAATGGAGAGTTGGATGTGATCTTGAACCTATACTCTTATGCTCGTGAGTTCATAGTATATGAGATGATTCGTGGAGACCAGAACAAAAAAATGTATGGAAAAGCATGGAGGATATATATAGAAAAAGGTAGGGAGAGATAGAATTAGGTACAAAATGAACGAGACGTGTTGCAGAGAGAAGATAGTCAGGGATCCATAATTTTCCTTTGGATGTTGTGATCCCATTTTCTAAGCCATTCGTCCTTTTCCGGGATCTGTTTGTGGGTTGACGAGACTTCACTCCGCAAATTTAAACTTATAGATCTTATGTGACACGTACATTGTATGTGTTTGAATGATTTATATATAATCGTATCACTAACAAAAATGTTATTTGATTTGGCTATATAAGATTAAGAGATTCCAGTATATTACATTTGTAAAAAATAATAATACCAAATGAACCATTTAAGATTTAAGGTGCACTCTTAATTTTTCTCACTAAATAGGCACTACACTATGTATTGTCTGAGAATGTGTCCTCTCCACCAATAATCACTCTTTAAGAATATTCCCAACCCAACTTCTTACGTCCTTAATTAATTAATTAATTAATTTAGTAGTAATCCACGTAATTGTATCTTTTGGAATATTCTTAGCAGCGTAAGTTTGTATTTGCACTAATCCAAATTTCGTTAGTAAGATAGCCTTTCACTACCCTTTAATGCAATGGCTCTCCTCTTGTATATGTCCATTGTCGGATTGGTGACCTAAGAGCATCAAACTACTACGGGATTATTTTCCCAAAATACAAGAATTGCTGAAATTTTTTATCACAATATCATGCGTACACTAATATTCTCAAAATACACAAAAAAATTTATAGTTTGGTGCACTGTTCAACGATTTAGGAAGCAGATCGCTTCAAATAATTGCAATCTATGGTACTCTACAGAGTATTTGAAACTCTACTTGCGAAGAAAAACACTATTAATTAGATATTACGTTTCACTAATGAGTGAAGACAAATTGCAACTACAAATTTTTTATCCTCTCTCGATGTCTAAGATTTTGACCATTGCAAATCACATCTTTCCGTAAACTCAATGTAGCAGCTCCACGTCCTCCGATAGGAGTATTAGCGACACATACATCCTCGATATCATATCTCATCTCGCCTTACACCAACTACACAAAGCTTATATGTACATAGCAATCTAAGGTGAAAATATTAAATCCAGAATATAATGAATTTGTTTTCCTCTACATTATCACAAGACGATCAAACCGGCGTATTGTATTAGAATAGTACTACTAAATTGAACTATATCTCCCATAAACATCCACTTTACATCCATCCAATTCTCCCAACAACAAAAGGGAGGCCAAAATAATGTGGTTGTTGGTCACAAAATCAATCAATTCCTTTTACTGTTTGCATTTTGTTCATGCACATCTACAAAGGAACATAAATTGTACAATCCACATTACTGCATGTTCATGAAACCAACGGGTGAGACTGAGAGGTCACAAATGAGTTAATAGATGTACCTTTTAGTCCCTTTGCTGCCCTAATTTCATTGGCCAACGTGTTACGTGTAAGAGTTTGTAGGACAGTGCCCCATATTAATGTTCACTATTTATTTCGTACACTACTATCTATTTTAATTTATGGACTGATTTTGACGCCAAATTAGCGGGAAAATAACGAGAAGAGTCAATTAGGGGGGGAAAATGTAAGAGATGCCCATAAAAAATACAATTTATTATTCAAGAACCTTAATATTGCATTTGCAGCATGTTAATTTATTAGCTAATAGAATCATTGTGATTTCTCATTATGAAGCTAAATCATTGAGAAATCCATTTGAATTATAAAAAAATGAGGTAAAAGATTGAGGTCCAAGAGTGGTTGACATGTTTAGTAGTGTGCTAACTCCTCGGAATCACTTTGGTCAAAGATATAAGATGAAATAACTCATACATATAACTAATCATCTAATGTCTGATCTTAGTAGTATTATTGGACTGACTAACGAGAATCGATGATAAATCATCATTTATATGATCAATTGATAGAGAAATCAACTGTGATTGATCAATCTTTTTATATGATAATATCTTGATAAAAAATACGACTATTGTGTGTTTAGTCTTAATTACGAGATTGCATAAACCATACATTATATATCTTAAGCTACTAGTACAATGACATATATAGATAAAGGAATCCGGCGATGAAATAAAGAAAATGAAAAAAAATACAAATCAAATATGGTATGGCTGAGTAAGTGTACTTAAAACTTAAAAGGCAGCCCTAAACCATATTGTACGAAAATATACATAGCTTGGTGTATCCCCACTAACTCGACATAATGAAGTCTCAGAATTTGATTAATTAACTTCAAATTGTCAGCAGCTTTCAAGTTTCAAGCACTAATCATGACTTGGCACCTTAATCCTATACATTAATTCAGACATCTAATCAACTCATAACGTGAAAAAAGACTACTGATTTGATTAGTGGAGAAAAACCTAAAACATAATTAACCCTCAAACTAAGCAACTATCCAATGGTCATACCTCAGTCAATAGTTCATGTTAATAATCATTAAATCAGAGATAAAGCCGAAGGTGTTAACCATTGATATGTTAATATATTTGACAAGGTTATTTGGTGCATTATAGCACCCATGGGCCTTGGTGTAGCGTATAGGCTTAGTAATTAGGGATTATTATTAGTTTATTATGGTTATTCGTATTAGTTTATTATTTATTGTTTTTTTTTTTTTTAAGAAGTTAGTGTTTACTTGTTGGGTTAGGATTAGTTTACCTTGTTGGAGAGGGAAAGGATTATGAGAGTAGTCCTATAAATATGTACGTTGTTTTTTGGTTTTGGTACGTGAATGAATAATAAACCAGTTTAGTAGTATTCCTAGTAGATTTAGGAGTAGAAGTAAAGTAGATTATAGTTCTCTCGACGCATTAGAAGCTATAATGCGCCATTATTACGGTAAATGTGTGCATATGGTAGAGTAATGTTTAGAACCATGTCTCTGGAGTGTATAAATACAACAGAGGATATATCAATTATTTAGACGATAATTTTATACACGAGTTTAGAATTCATTATGGAGTAGTTTCGTTTGCGTACGTAGCCTCATATGCATGATACAACCACTTACATATATGTGGCCTCCTATGCATGAAACAACCACTTCTATGTAGCATCACCATTACCAAAACAAGCACCTTTCGTGTGGCCTCATATTTCAGTTAGACTGGTATCGAGTTAAGTTTCATATCTGCTCGTTAAAAAGTCTACATATGGTTTCTATATCAGGTTGAGTGATGTTACTTTATGTGTCTAAATTTTGACGGGAAGATTGAATGAAGATTGATAGGCTGGCCATTTCGTTAGTTAGTACAGACATACATTAATCATTTTGGTTAAGAATCATATGTAAGTGACCATTTGGTTGCTGTTCCCAAATGTAGGTGACCATCACTGTAATTAACCCCAAAATTGGAACAAACCCAGAGTTACCAGCCCAATCCTTTTGGGCTGATTCCGAGTCCATGGGCCAAATTCATCGGACGGGCCGCGCATGCGTCTTGGATTTAATAGGAAGAAAAACAGTAATGCATTCGACTGTCATGTTGGGCTTGGCTTGTTTGCTTGTGGTCCGATGACTAGAGCCGGCTATTTGGTCCTGACTGTTTGGGTTTACCCGAAACCGGACCGTATAACCCGGATCGAGATCGGATAGCAAACAATCTAATCTCATATTCGGGCTTAGATTTGAGGTAAAAACTCCGGATAAAGACCGGATAAGAGACCCCCAACACCTAAAATCAAGATCAAATTGGGATCGGACCGGGTTAAGACCGGACGGAATAAAGACCGGACTGTATCCAATCCAATTTTTGGTCCTTATATTCCCGAAAAGACCGGACTGAGACCGAATCAATTTGGTCCAATTTAACCGGACCTGACCGTATAGCCACCCCTACCGATGACGATGCAATAGTTAATAATAAATCCTTGCTTATTTGATAAATTGTCAACATACTCGCAAAATTCCAGGTGCTTGGTGTGGATAAAGTCCATTTGTGGATTGATGTTGGTTTGGTCGATCGTGTGTAACATCCGTACGATGGGGGAAAATGTCAAGGGAAAATCGGCACTCAAGAAATGTCAAACCCGAAGACTCTTGAATTGGTGCGCGATAGCAATGGCGCGCATTTAATGGCTGTAGCCGCCATTCCTTAGCTCATTCAACTCGTATTTTGCTCCTCCCTTGGCTTTCATCAATAGTTTTGTTTTTATGATGTAGGAGTCCCATGGCTAACGGTTGGGGTTTCTTGATAATTCGGATTAGAGCGAGTGGACGAGACGTCAGATTTTAATTTTGGAGTTGAATACGGTGATTCTAATTTGTCCAACGTTCGGCCGCATTTCTCTATCCCTACTACCCTTATCGAGGGGCACATCAAACAAAGAAAAAAATCGTGTTTTTTTTTCAATTTCGATAGTACTTCGAACGTTATATTGGGCAGATAAAAAAGTTTGCGCATAAAGTCGCGGTCGTGATCATTAAAAAGCGGCTTTCTTTCCACATCAATGGAGATTAAGTTACTTGAATCTAATCCTATAACATACATTATCACTTATCAACCTTTGATGGCTAAACTCGATAAGTATATATTAATAAACGAAATGATCGATATGAATACTCAAACCTCATCCGTCAAACCAAACTTATTGTATTCTCTATTCTGAATACAAGTATCATGATGAGACAACAAATCAAAATTGGGGAAGGACTTCCCACCTATTTTAAGCTCAAAAGCAGTGGATGATATCACGAGACTCCATTTTTTTTTTTTGAAAAGTGGATTCATTCATTCATTCCCCAAAGAGCAAAATTACAGCAAAGCAGAAACAACATTGAGTACATGAAGCCAATCAGGATGAAGGCCATTAAGTCTACAATTTCGTGCGACCCAATCAGCGCATTTGTTGTTTTGACGTCTCGTGAAAGAAACACGAATCCTTGTCGATTGATGCAAGATTCTGGAAACGGAGGACAGGGCAGCGTAACATCGCCAATGAGACTCCATTGATGGAAGGGATGGTCGATGATACATACCTAGAGATTCCTTTGTTGATTAAAGGCTACCACCAAACTCTACAACCGGTTGTTCATTTAGGTGCTTTTAACAATGAGCTAGTTATGCGTTCTCCCGTTACTTTCCTCCAGAAATCAAAAGTAGCTAGGCTGGCATATGCCAACATTCCTTTAGGCCAAACACATGGTGATGTTAGAATATGTTTACTTATGCAAAGATCAAAATTAAGATGCTAATTGTGTTTTTTTTAGAGCTCTCAACTCTATATTCATATCGTTCTAACATATCTGGGATACATAAGTTGGTGCAGGGTCATACTATGTACGACCAGAACGCCTATCATAATGAAAATGTCTTAACACGATAATCATAGATAAATTACATATACGTATATGATTCACGATGATTCGATCACGATAGAACATCCTAATTAATTAATGCCTAGTGGTTGGCCCGTGGCTAGTGGGAACCCGAGATTGGAAAAGTTCCAGAGACCACGCGCTCAATGTTACAGAAGTCAAATACTCGAATGCAATTTGCAGATTGCAGTGTTCGTCTTTAATTACATGCATTCTTTTGGGATTGTTAATTCGCTAATCAAATCCATGTCCTTATCGCTCACATGACTTTTTTTCTTTGAAAACCTGAAATAAAACCCACCTGTAGATTGCGAAAGAAGTAGGGTCATCCTGTTTTTCTCCTATCGTCGTGGATATAAAATTCCATCTCCATGTTTGATTGATTGAGCATGTCCTAACAAAAAGTGATAGAGCCAGTAATATCAATGGAGAGACTGACTTGAATCGTGATAATTAGGAGAGATGATTAAGGCCTTGTGTGGTATTATATTTCTTAAATTTGTTATGAATTTTACATGTAATTTTACATATATTCCAAATTTGAGGGGGTTATAACCCTTTCTAACTTCAACCTAGCTCCTCCCCCTGCTATCAACGTATGTAGAATTTTGTTAAATGACAACCTAGCTAGTGGACGGAATATCGATTGATTAACAAAACACCCATGCGAGCATTCGTGGATAATTCTGAAGCCAAACAGTAGAAGTGTGGTTGTATTCGTGATTCAAAATATTGGATCGATCTCTGCGCTTTATGTACATTATGCGAGCATTCACGAATGATTCTGATACCAGAGCCAGCCATATTAATCCGAACCTAAAGCCAATCAATAAATTCTATAGTGCCAAGATTTGGCTGAATTTCTAACCCTAAACTAGCTAGGATGGTCGAATCTCAGTTGGAATTTGGCATTTCTTACTTTTGACTTTCCTAATGTGTGCAGGCTTTGCTCACTTGCTGTAGATGAACCCTAGAGCCGTCTGCTCTGCCTGCTGTGATACATACATTAACCAAACGACAACTAAACTTTGTATGTATATGTTTCTTTCTTAGTTCTTATAAATCTAGCAATTGGCCAGTAAGACCGCAAATGTCGACAGGCTAATATAATAAGTTGAAAATGATAGTGTTTTGGAAAACGATAAGAAAAGCATTAAAGCAAGAATCAAAACATGTATTTTTAATTCGCTCTACTCGTCCACGCATATCTAACATAAATTTTTTTACTTTTGCACATTGGAAAAAGACGAAGTTGGTAATGTGATGAAGTCATTGATTACTGCATTGTTTCCATAAATGTTGCTTCCAAACTGCGAGCTCATCCCCCTGCAAAACTCTGATTCAGAAGCTGGATCGACAAGGGAACATTGAGACCGAGGTGGGGTTATAGTGAAGGAGATTAGAGAGAGATGTTTGGAGCGAGGAAATGTTTGGTGGCGCTTTTGGGGAAGAGAAGGAAATGTTGCTGCTCATGAGATGGCAAGGGCGAATTGCAGATGGGAGGAAACTGAGCTGTGGAAGGGGAGACCCCCAATTTTCATTCTCAACTTTTTAGAAAGGGACTGTAATGGCACTTTACCAGTTTGATTAATAATATTCAGATTTCTATTAAAAAAAAAAATATTTCAGGGTTTCATCTTTGATGAGGTCACATTTCACAATTTCAAAGAGAAGTCGTAGTAAAAGATTGAGTGTCGACAATTCATTAACATCTTCACATAATTTGATATTTTCGATATCAACGAAATACTACTCAAAATAAAGATAGCAATTTCGACGTCGTATATAACTCGTATAATTCATGTTACATATGCAATCTTGTCCGCTAGCAGCATGGGGTAGGTAGGACATGAGCCTTATTTCAATGTCTTCTCTTCCCATCTTGAATAGGTCGAATCTCAACATTCTCCAATATGTGCGCATATTTATGTTGTTATAACCACATTATAAAATAACGTAACTATAACTTTGTTCAACCCATCTTTTTCTCAAATAGTCCAAGTTTATAAGTCATCTTCATTCTCTTCCTTAATGATCTATCGAAATTACTTCTTCTCATTCAATTCCCCCATAAAATTCTACCTGACCTAACTCATGCTAAACAAGAGGTAGATATGCAAATTGAGATATTCACTTATCACATCTCCTTCTTATTATTATTATTATTATTATTATTATTATTATTATTTTGCTGGGTCTCGTCGTTGTTTCTAATTATGAAAACAAACAATTTTATGTGATCTCCCAATAACCAAATCTATCAACTCAAACTATGGAGCTCACGACACTATTTACAAAGATTTCACTGACCATTTTAGTCAACCACACCATAATATAATCAGAAATCCATAATTGCTTTTTTCTCAATCTGTCAAAACTTTACCTTCTACTCAACAACAGCCGACTTTGTATTTGTCACCCCTTTCACAATGACTCGCCAGTTGCCACGGTTCCTCCTCCCTCGTTTTCCTTCCTTCAGATATTAAATGAGAATCCAGATGTTTGACCAGAACCGTTCACGAAAACCGGTTAACTCTCCCTTTCCCCTTTCTGGCCTTCTCCATTTCCCCCACCTTATCATCTCCTCCACCCCCAAATGAAACAACCGCCGCCACCGCCGCAATGAACCACCGCCGGCCGCTTCACACCCTCCCCTTCCTCCTCCTCCTCCTCCTCTTCCAACCAACCTCCGCCGTCGACTTCCTCTTCAACAGCTTCACCCCCACCAACTCCTCCTCCAGCCTCTTACTCTACGGATCCGCCGCCGTCGAATCTCGAGTCCTCACCCTCACCAACTCCACCACATTCACCATCGGCCGCGCTCTCTACCCGCAGAGAGTCCCCACAAAAACACCCAATTCCTCCTATGTCAACCCCTTCTCCACCTCCTTCATCTTCGCCATGGCGCCGTACAGAGACGCCCTCCCGGGCCACGGATTGGTCTTCCTGTTCGTCCCCTTCGCCGGAATCGAGGGGGCTTCCTCTTCTCAGAACCTGGGCTTCCTCAATCGCACCATCGACAACGATCCCAACACCCGAATCTTCGGCGTCGAGTTCGACGTCTTCGCCAACCAGGAGTTCAGCGACATCAACGACAATCACGTGGGGATCGATCTCAATTCGCTCACCTCCAGATTCGCCAACGAGGCCGGCTACTGGCCGGATTCCGGCGCCGGATTCGAGACGGTGAGGCTGAACAGCGGCGAGAACTACCAGGTGTGGATCGATTACGCGGATGGGTCGATGAATGTGACGATGGCGAGGGCAGGGGCGAATCGGCCGAGGCGGCCGTTGCTTAACGTTTCGGTGGATCTCTCGGAGGTTTTCGAGGACGAGATGTACGTTGGTTTCACTGCTTCTACAGGGCAATTGGTACAGAGCCACAAGATTCTAGGTTGGAGCTTCAGCAACTCGAATTTCTCGCTGAGCGAGGGTTTGGTGACTACTGGCTTGCCGTCGTTCGTGCTTCCGTCGGATTCGAATCTTCAATCGAAAGGGTTTATCGCCGGGGTAACGGCGGGGAGCTTGGTCTTGGTAATTTCCGGCGTTTTGATTGCCCTTTTTCTAATCAGGAGGAGGAGGAGAAAAACAGGGGAGAATAAAGACGAGGAAATGGAGGATTGGGAATTGGAGTACTGGCCGCACAGAATGGCTTACCAGGAAATTGCGGCGGCGACGAAAGGATTCAGCGAGGAGAACGTGATCGGAATCGGAGGGAATGGTAAAGTCTACAAGGGAACTTTACTCCCCGGCGGAATTGAGATTGCAGTGAAGAGAATCTCGCCGGAGAACGACGGAACCAGAGAATTCCTCGCCGAAATCGCCACCTTGGGGAGATTGAAGCACCGGAACTTGGTGGGATTGCGTGGCTGGTGCAAACGGGAAAAGGGAAGCTTCCTTCTGGTCTACGATTACATGGAGAACGGAAGCTTGGACAAATGGATTTTCTCCGACGAGAGGCAGAAGTTGCTGAATTGGGAAGACCGGATACGGATCCTAAACGACATCGCTTCCGGGATCCTGTACCTCCACGAAGGATGGGAATCGAAGGTGCTTCACAGAGACATCAAGTCCAGCAACGTCCTGCTCGACAGGGACATGAACGGTCGGATGGGCGATTTCGGGTTGGCCCGGTTGCACGAGCACGGGGAGGTAGCCCGGACCACCCGAGTGGTTGGGACGGTCGGGTATCTCGCACCAGAAGTGGTCCACACGGGTCGAGCATCGACCCGAACCGACGTGTTCGGGTTTGGGATCCTGATACTAGAGGTTGTGTCGGGGAGGAGGCCGATCGAGGAAGGGAAGCCGATCCTTGTCGATGTGGTGTTAGAGGCGATGAAGGAAGGGAAGCTGGCAAATTGTGTCGACCCGAGGCTAAGAGATCAGGGGGAGCTGGTCGAGGATCAGGAAGTGGAGCGGGTGGTCCGGCTTGGTTTGGTTTGTGCCCATCCCGACCCGAGTGCCCGACCCACGATGAGACAAGTGGTTAAGGTATTGGAAGGGAAGAATGATAGTAACGAGGGAGACGAGGAAGCCGAGAGCGAGGAAATGGAGGCGTACCTGCTCCAGCGAACGAGGACTGGGACGATGACGCCTACGAGAGACTTGTGGATGAGTAGGTACTCTAGCGATTTCGGGTACGTCGGATCACATCCGACGATGGATGATGTCAGACAATCGCAATCAACGTCGTCCGGATCGTGGACCACGACGACCGTGGAGGGTAGGTGAAAACAAATGGAATGGTGGTGGGATGTTCCATAGCGTGTTTGACATTGTTGAGAAGGTCGGCGAGTTTTGTGACTTGGTTAGGGGGAAATGTGGCAGGTTTTGCGAGCAAGGAGATGGAGCTGCGGATGTACAAGAGCGTATGAGGTGGTTTGCTGCTGCTAGTTAGCTATGCGGGGAAGAAAGGTGCAGCTTGGAAGATAGAAGTTAGGCTTTTTCTCTTTGCTTTGGTTCATTCCTTGGAGTGGTTAATTTTTTTGGGTACATGAATGTACAAAGTGAATAGATGGTGGGTGGGGTTCCTCTTTGTATTTAAGTTTATATATTACTTTTGCTTTTATTGAATTCTTTGCATATAAGTAGAGTGATTGGAGCGATTGTTGATTATAAAAAAATGAAGAAACACAAATCATCAAGCGGGGATAGCTCAGTTGGGAGAGCGTCAGACTGAAGATCTGAAGGTCGCGTGTTCGATCCACGCTCACCGCATTTTAATTTTTGCACGTTTCCTACATCCTCTTCTTTTGGAATTTGGGCTTTTGAAGACAAAGGCCCAAATAAAAAATTCTTCTGTCTAACGTTTTCCAATTACTGTTGCAAGTTTGGGCTTTATGGATAACTTGAGCCTCTAATGTTTTCGTTCCTTTCTTAAGATATGGGCTTTAACCTTCAGCCCAGTTCAAGGAAATGTGTTTTAACTCGGATCCTCTTGGAGTAAGAGGAGACTTCAAATCGGTTCATGGAGAAGACAGACCCAAGCCAGGTGGAAGAATATCATTTGCGAGACCGAAATCGGACCGAATTAAGAGCTTTATGACGATGGAACACAATTATTACGTACAATCATGTCATACATTAATATACCTTTAAATTACAAATATTTTAGTCAATTTATTGCTTGTTTTCAATTGATTAAAATCCTTAAACGAAAACTTACATGTCCAAATCTTCATAACCCGCAACATTAATTGTACGACTTAGATACATTAGCTAATGTACCTATATACAAACTTTCAAGTCAGTATAAACACCGCGCGACCAAAACAATATTATCTTGGAGTAGTGTATTATATTTGCAGCATCGTGCGTGGGGATAAGGTCACTGCAGGTAAGGTATAAATCACATCGGATCTCCAATTTGGAGCACCTGTCAACAAATAGCCATATAGCATCTCTATATTTATGCTTTTTTATATTCTATTTTCCTTCAATTTTTTATAAGAAAATAAATAATATTATTATTCGAGATCATGATCTCTGTTGTTTATAGACCTTTGCTTTCATTGCTTGTATATATATAGATAGATTGTGAAAGCTATTTCCAGCTCATGCATGTTTCTACCAATTATTCCAGCCCTCAATAATAATTTCTAAGGCATGGGTGTATGACTGTATATATACGAGGCTTCGAGTTTCCGCATTCAATGAGGAAAACCAAACCCCAAATTGTTGGGTTGGGCATGAGACAAGCCAATGTGGAGATCCCATCAAAACCCAACTATGTTACATGTGTGATTGTGTGTGTAATTAAACTAGAACGATTGGTATTGAACGATTGGTATTGTAGTTATGTAGGTTAGAGGTGGGCATTGAGTGTGTCGAGTGGGCTTTCGGTTTCAAAAATGACTCATTCACTTACTATACGTTTTGTTGGGTGTGGTTAGGATTGATGGGGTAAACCATATAAGTATTTATGTGACTAGTCATCATGCGAGTAGATTAGCGGTTAAACCTCAATTCTCATGTCCCACTCCATGCTACTATGGGTCGGGACGAGTAAAACCCGTGCGGGTATGGGGCGGGGCGGGTCGACACACTCTTACATGTTATTTGGAAAAGATACACTCATATTTTACCTTTTACGATAAAACAAAAGGAAATATCTACTCTAACTAGTTAAATAAAAGTCAAAATATGATAAATATGTATAGATAACGTAAGAAATTGAGATAAAATGGGTCTGAAACGGGGCGGGGTGGGTCGGAAGTGGATACCCATGCCCCGCCACACACTGTTGCGGGTCGGGTAATACCCGCCCCATCGCCGGTCAAGTCGGGTAATTCCCGCGGGGCAGGTTCAAATTGCCATCACTAGCCCCACCCAGTACGCACACTGGTATTACCCGATCCAACCCGTACTTAGTGCGAGGCAAGAATAATGGATATTGAGATATCTGTCTTACCCCGCCCCATTATCATCACTAAAGAAAACAAATTAAATCACTTTTTTACGAAATATATCCCAAGAGAGAACACGACAAAATATGTGGACCTTTCCATATTAAAATTACAAAGTAGAATTAAGGAAACAATATCACTTGGATTTGATATATGTATATAAAAGGAAATAATGTCATTAATATTTGGCATTTATCATCTAATAAAAGGCAAATGTGTAGAGAAGATTTTTATTTACAAAATGAAAAGATTGTCACTATAATTAGGTACCCATATAGAAGAAAATCATGCCAATAGGGTTGGGTATCTTCTATCATATAAAAGGAGTTCACATCAACGATTCTTTTACCAAACTATTGATATAAAACTCATAGAAAAGTTCGTGACAGAAGAAATGGAAAATACTGCAATGAAGTTGGCCTTCTTTTTTGCTCTCTTGTTCTTCACAGCTGGTACGTATCCGACGTTTTCAATCATTTCTGAGTTCTAACACTGTGTATCAATTGTAAATTTTACTTGTGTATTGATTAATTATAGGCTAATAAGTAATAACAAGTGTGGGTTTGTTGGTTGAAGGTCTGGAGAAGAGAGTTGCAGATGGAAGGGGACTCGTCGTAGATTCATTTAAATGCAAGATACAAGAGGATTGTTACGAGAACTGCAAGTGCCAAATTTGTGCATGTGAAGGGAAAAAATGTATTTGTAAGGTGAAAAACGATAACAGCGTCACGAATGCTACTGCCAATAGTACACCACACCAAACCATCGATCCTCCGTCTCTCACATATTAGATTTCGGCCCTGCCCGTTGAATGCGACAGACTTAATTAATAAAGTCTCGATTTTGTATCCTATATAAAAAAAAAAGTTTCAATATTGTATTCCGGACTCTACTTTTCCATATCGATCCTGTCCAAATCGTACTATATCTTGTTTCAAAATGGAATGAGTGATGATGATGACTAAGCATGTACAAACTGAACTAAACTTGGATGAACAATGAACCTGTCACAATTCATGGTGTGGGGTTACTTAGGGGTTGTTTGGAAGTTGCGAGAAAATGTTTATACGAGATAGACACCAAAAGGGTACAAGTGGCGTTATAGACACCAATTGTGACTGCATAATCTGTATTTTGTTCAACAGCAATCTTCTTCGGTTAATACGTGACAAACTATGTCTCTTTCACTAACGTGGAACTGAGTAATGATGGCTGATATATATCATAACCATCTATTCATCGTCCTAACCCAATTCCTCAAAGAAAAAAGGACTCCTTTGAGGGCTTTAGTACCTTCAAAAATGTGATGATTTTGGTTATTTACACCCACCTGGAGAGTTCGAAATTACCAATTTCACTTGAGATTTACTTCAATATTACGAGAAGGAAAAAAAATTGTAGAAATTTGGTAGTTTGATTTGTTTTTTTCCACATAAATATCATAGATACTTTTGTCAGTGAAGAAACCAAAATTTAGAATGAGGAGGGATTACGGAAGAAAAAGGAAATTGTCGAAATTTCTCATGATAAAACTTAAAATTTTTAACGATGGACTAATATCTCGTATTCTATCATATAGTACATAGATTATAACCTCATACACAATCCCGAGATAGATGATAGCCCTTATTAAACTACACATAACTCGATAATTGTAAAAGATATCACTAACACAACTTGCACTATTTTCAAACATGCACACCGCTAACTCAATGACACAATACACTAGTAAGTAGTAACTGAATTAAAGTAGGCTTAAGTCTTAATAGTTATAGCAGAATGTTGATATTTATTATTTAATAATTTTTATATAGTGAAGTTTTGGTTGGTCTTAGGTCTACTTCGATGTAACGAACGATTAGCCAAGTTGAATACCTTTGGGAATTTATTATAATTAAAGCAGAAAGTGTGATGGGAAGAATCATTTGATTAGAGATCAGGTGGGGGACAAAAGATGGTTCCACGAAAAGAGTAGGCAAGATATGTGATAAAATAGTAATTAACAATGATAATGATATTGGTAATTAAAAGGGTGGGTGGAAGGTATTACTGAGTGATGATATTATTAACACAAGAAGAAGTCAAAGACGTCGTTTTAGGCTTTTCAGATTACAAACTAACGCACCTACTCACTTTTTTTTAGATAAATTAATATTTACATGCTCACTTTTGCGCCACTTAATTTAATAAAACCATGTTGTCATTAGCAACAAGAGATGGATATTTGTATATAAAAAAAACATTACTTTCTTATCTTGCCTTATCCATAATTATCCAACAAGATGTGAGTCTATCAGTTTTTTGCATTTTAAGATTCCTCAAATGTATCAGAATTGCGAGATTTAAACTGTAACTCTATCAATGATGCCTCAAGCTCAAGATTATGACAAGATTAATTTGGTTGTGGTCTCGTGACTTGCACTAAATCGATCTCGGATTCGTCAACCAACACCTACTGAAATAGTTCTTCAGCGAATTCATAAACAAATCAGGAGTATTGTAGGAGGATACGAGTAAACGTTGTGCAACTTACACCTCCTCAATTGTCTGATTTATAACTATTGATCGAGAATTTGTGTGACCCAATACAATGAAATTGTCTGATCATAAACCTAACAAATTAAGAAAGCGCGAGCATCACACAAGTCAATCAGAAATTCAGAATTGATAATCACCCAATATATGTATATATATACAATTTAATTAAACCCTACCGTTTAACACATGGTATTGACCATGTCCAGCAATAATATATCTGAAAGATCCATATGATCAAGAAACCTTGATCCAGATCAGATCCAACAAAAATAATTTTTTTCCCCCTGGTTATAAAATCAGCCTGTGAACCACAAGTTTGGGTTTACTTAATAGTCCCGCGAATCAAAGTATGATTTTTCAACGTGGGGCTTCCCGTGTTAATAATTAGCGTTAATCGCCTTGTTAATCCGACCTAATTTGCATGTTTACTAGCAAGTGGTCAACTAATGAGTTAAGTAAACAGGCCATCAGATACATCTCACACACCTGTATCGATCCAATCCTGCGATCGAATCCACATTAGCAGACTGTTCAATCAGACTTAAACCATTGTTTAATTTTGGCTAATCAGATTTAAAGTTACAGGTAGGCTTTATCTTAATTAAGCAATTTCCTAATCCAAATTGATACTCTTTTTCTTTTTTCCCCTCTTTCAATTATCCTCGTGTTTTGGCTGGTATATCATTTTGGCATTATTCTCTCATTTTTTTTACGCTTAGACTCGGCAGCGCTGAGTCAGCCCTATCAATTATACACCCCGTGAAGTGACCGAATTGCCCCCGCCGGTCCACCCATCTCTCGTTCTGTCTTGTCCTGTCTCTCTTTGGAAGTGCCAACATATTCATCGAAACCATTGGCTGGACGCCGCGTTTTCTATCCATTTTTCTCAATAATAATAATAATGGAGAAGAAGCAAAAAAATAATAATAAATAGAGAAAAAAACATACGAACATTTGGTGAGTTGAGATATAGCCCCACTTGAAAATTGGATAAGACTATCAAAGTTGTCCATGGATCGAAATCAACGGCCGAGATCGTGCCTCTTGTCGATTCGTGTTCATAGCCACACACGTAGATCAGAAGTGGAACTGATCTTGATGATGATCGGGATGAATTACTTCCTTTCCTGATGTATGTTGACCGGCCGGCCGGCCCCACCGCCGGGAACCGTCGTTCTCGATCGGTTTGCATTGTCTTTGTCTAAATTCTTCTCCGGCTTAGCTTCTTCCTCCCATCTTATCGGATGCAAAACGGTGAAGCAAAACCCCAAACCACCATTTAGGTAGTGATGGGGTTCGGTGTGTATTTTTTTCTGTCATGATTCATTTGTAATGTGTGGCCATGTGGGATCCTTGGTGTATATAACTTAAGGCTAGTTTGATTCCGGGAATACTCGAACGAATATGCAGGTTTTGTCGATGTCGATAGAAATATTGTTTTGAGAACGATGATATAACTTAGTTATTAACATATCCATAATTTATGTTGACTCGTGCACGAAATGAATATTCTGAATTATATAATCCGATTATATCTAATTTCAACACATTAAAAAAATATATTGACAATGCAAAATAAAAAAATTCTCTTGTTACATATTATTTTTGGCACACGACATACGTTTTTCCCGCTAGATTTGCGACGAAAATCTAGTAAAAGTTTTTACTTGCTAAATCAGCAAAACCATTATCCACAATTCAAACTATAAAATTCTATAATCCAACATCTAAAAATTCTCTTCGTACTTACTCTTTTTTCACATAAGAAATAAGTTTTTCTCTGCTAAATCTTCGACGAAAATCTAGTGGAAAGACTTATTTGTTAAACTGGTAAGAGAACAAGGAAACCAAGTAACAAACTATCCTTTATCCAAAAATCCATTATTGTTAAAAGAAAAGGATCCCCCATCCAAAATCCAATAACTTACCACTTCATGTAAATGTAATTTATAAAAAGAAAATAACTAACAACATAAAAGCCACAAACCCGACCTGCCGACCCGCCAACCCGACCCGGTGGTCCATGAATATTCGAGCATATCCACATTAGTCACACCACCAGGGGCACCCGACCCGGTTCAGCAGCATTATTGCACTGATTGAACTAACTGACTGACGTGGATCCTTGCTGTTTCTCAAACTGTCCCGATTCGCCACTTCCAATCATACCGCGCCATGTCAGCATCCCCCTCGCCAGCAACATGTGCGCGGCGGGCTGTTCGGTCAATTATGCCCCTCCCTCCCACTGGGCCCCACTTCCCCCACCCCTCAACTCCTTATATAAAACCCCCCGCCACATTTTATTAATTCTTCCCACCCAAACCGCTCGCTCCTTAATCACAGTGATTAATCATTAATCACCTCCAAATTCCCAATCCCCTAACCTTGATTACACGATGCCTAGCGCTCGGATTAGAGTCCCGATCCTGCAGCACAGCTTCATGTACAACAGCAGCCTCGAGCAATCGTCGGAGGGGAGTTCGTTGATCTCCGACGTGGACGATCCTCTGTTCGGGTTCCTCGACGGCGGCGGAAATTACAGCAATTACGAGACGTCGTCATCGTCGGAGAGCTCCGACCGGGGAATTGACGACGAAGAGGCGATGGATCTGGGAGAAGAAGAAGAAGAGGGCGCAAGAAACGAGGAAGAGGTCAGGATGTTTTGGGAGAATCAGCACCAATTGGTCCAGGTAATTAATTAGTTAGTTAATTACTCTGGATAAGCTTGAGAGGGGTAAAATGGGTAGTTTGCAAAATTTTGGGGGTATTGACTATTGACTTTTTTTGTGTGGGGGGATTCAGGCAACGTTGTGTAGAACGAGCTCTCTGGAAACCGGGATAAGGAATTTGACGAAAGAGGCGGTGAAGGAGATTGAGATGGCCGGAACGATTTGCGCCTGCGGCAGGGTGATGGTCGGCGGCTGCCGGAGCTGCTTGATGGCCGAGATCGCCGGCAGGCTGAGGAACGCCGGGTACAACAGCGGCATTTGCCGGACCAAATGGAGAAGCTCCCCGGATATTCCATCTGGTTAGTAATTAATTACACAATTGGAATTTTTTTATTCAAAATAATTACGGTAGTCCGCATGCAATCGGATTAAATCGTGTCATTAATTTCATTATTACTGCTAATTCTTAATTTTTGACGAATTCCAACAACAGGAGAGCACACATTTTTGGACGTGATCGACAATTCGAAGAGAGGGGAAGTGAGGGTGGTGATCGAGCTGAACTTCCGGGCGGAGTTCGAGATGGCGAAGGCGAGCGAGGAGTACAGCCGGCTCGTCCGCCGGCTGCCGGAAGTATTCGTCGGGAAAATCGAGAGGCTGACGAGCGTGATAAAGATACTGTGTGTGGCGGCGAAAAAGTGCATGAGCGAGAAGAAGATGCACATGGGCCCGTGGCGGAAGCACCGTTACATGCAGGCCAAGTGGCTCGGCGCCTGTCGCGAAAGGAAGACGCCGTCGCCGTCGACGGCGTCGTCGGGTGGTGATTTGGCGGCGGCGGCGGCGGCGGCGGCGGGGTGCTTGGGGAGGAGGAAGGCGCGGTCGTCGATGCTGACGGTGGATTTGTTGGACATGTTGCCCAATATGCACTGCACGGCCGTCGGAGTCATGTGATCGATACTAATTTTTTTCTCTTGTTTTTTTTGTTGTTGTTGGAGGTGGTAATTACGGGTTTGGTTTAGAGAAATTAATGTAGCGGAAATTTCTTGTCTTTTTGTTGGGATGGGTTAGATCAAAAGTGTGGGTGTGTAATATATTGTAAAAGGTTGGGCTAGAATTCAAAAGCATCTTCTGGTTCTTTTCCATTGTTTATTCATCATTTTTGGATCAAACTACAGCTGATTCTAGTGACAAAAGGGATGGATAGACCTAACATGCTACAAATTTCCCCCGAATTTGAGCAAAAAAATAGTGCTATGTTTGGTTTGTCCTTACTTGTAGCTATAGACTACGGCTGACTATTTGGTACGAGTTTTTTGGTTTTACTCGAAACCGGATCGGACCGGACCGGGATTGGATAGTAAACAATCCAATCCAATTTTTGGGCTTAGATTTGAGGTAAAAAATCGTTCGGGACCGGATCAAAAACTGGATAAAGACCGGATAAGAGAGCTCAACACCCAAAACTTAACGGTAATTTGCATAAACGGTCACAAACCTTTGCACTTATTACAAAACTTAACCAACTCCTCAAACTTTCAGGCCTTAGCCCACTCAAATCCCCACAAGTTCAATATAAAATCAAGACCGCATTGGGAGCGGACCGCGTCAAGACCGGACTGTATCCAATCCAATATTTAGTGCTTATATTTTCGAAAAAACCGAACTGGGACCTGATCAATTTGGACCAATTTAACCGGACCGGACCGTGAGCTAGAAATCTAAGATCTAGGGACTGAAAATTGAAGATTGTGATTAGGGCTGCAAATGAGCCGAGTCGAGTTTTACCCCAGCTGGAGCTCGGCTCGTTAATAAACGAGTCGAGTCGAGCTCAGCTCGTTTATTAACGAGCCGAGTCGATTTAATTGGTACTTCATTTTGTATATCATGATACATATGATTTATTTTGTTAGCTAATCTCATATAGTCATATTATATTTTGTTTGTATCATATATCATTTAGCTAATAAATTTTAGCTACTCCAAATCATGTTATTTCATAGTATCGAAGCAATCTATGATGCATAATTTCTTTTTAAAGTAGAAAATAAGATATATTTGGTCACATACTCAACGTGTTAAACTTTATATATGGTGAGATATATAATTTAACAACCATATGAATTAAAATCATAAGATATAGATTGATTCGTCCATAAGTTGGTAATCGAGTTGGCTCTCTAGCCACATGTTAAGACATATCATGAGCTCTAAACGAGCCAGCTCACGAGTTTAGCTCAACAAGCCACCGAGTCGAGCTAGCTCGCGAACTTCACGAGCTGAACAAAGGTGAGCTCGTGTTCGGCTCGTTTGTTATCGAGTCGAGTTTCGAACGAGCTTTTCTCGATTCGAACGCTGAGCCGCTCGCGAGCAGCTCGGCTCATTTGCAGCCCTAATTGTGATGTGAGGCCAACAAAACAAGGAGAAACAATAGCATAGGACGAGCCCCTTCCCGTTTGTACTTAGATATGTTGGGCCTTAACTATTTGGGTTAACGAAGGATTGCTGGGCTTGTGGATTATGTACTATATATCGGCTCACGCCAAGTTAACCTCTAAGACGACTTCGATGATGGGCTTAGGCGTCTCGGCATATACGTAATTCGACTAATGAGTAATGACTTTACAATGCGGCGACCCTTTGGATAAGATAATCTGGGCCAGCAAGCCCGACACGACATCAGCCAGTTTGTATGAATCGGCCCACGTGAATTTGGGCTGGTCTCCTCTCCACGTTCCCACTGCTGTCTGCTGCAGCATCCGTTTTATCAAGGGGGGAAAACAACGTCTTTGAAAGAGCTGCTTTGGCCTTCGGGTGATAGATAGATTAGTCATACTTTTTCCCATGCACCTTTTTTTTCGTTGCGTGATTCTGAAACCACCCATGCAGAGCAAATCCTACGTACGTAGACAAATAACAAAGTATTGATTCAGATACATGAATATGATTTATTTTGTTACTTTCATGTATTACCCCTTAATTATATAATAATCACGAGAAATACAGATTTCCATATATGTAAATCCTTAGGGAGTCCGCAGAACTCGAATCCAACGTTTTATAGTCAGAATATCGATGTGGTATAATTAAACTAGAAGAATCTATCGGGCATGTAAACGCATTAAGACCTAAATTAAAAAAAAACACACAAAAGAAAAAAAGTAACTACATATCATTATATTTATGAAGGGAATAACAACTAGTGAAGATTTGTCAACAAATGGCAAATCCCTAGCGCACTGAGAATGTGTGTTGATACTTGATAATCATGACTTTTTTCCGGGTTTGTGTGGTTTATTTAGAAGGAAGGAGAAGGGGGATATTACAGCATATTCCGCAATGTATAATGGGAATAGAATATGATAAAAAGAAAGAGTAGTTGGATCGAGTCAGTTCGTTGCAAAATAAAAGTTGGAATTCCTGCTGGCTGGCTTGGTCACGTACTCACGTTCCAGATGGAAAGAATACTATTCATATATTCAGTAAGTAGCTCCGAAGAAATGGTAATACAAGTTATTAATTAGCACATTTTTTTTATATATATATTTTCGTACATGTTCCAAGTTCCACCACAAATTCAAAATGAGTGGGCGTGTATGGCCTAGCAATAGCTATTGTGAATTGTGATCCACATACATAAGGGACCCTTCCCCTCCGAGATATTTTAGTTCACGGCAAACATAGTTTTGGCGAGTGTAAATCGAATATGAAATCAGTCATTATTTATGTCCGGTTTGGAAGTATTATACGACTCGATTCAATCTGCAATTACTATGTGCCCGAACTCCGAAAACAGTGAAATACTTTCAAGTTATTAGTAAAATTCAATGTCCATAAATAGCTCATTAGGTAGTAAGGAGGGTCTCCTCTCTCTCCCCCCTCCATTTCTTTGACCGGAGTATCGTGCTACTTTAGTTTTCGATGGGAAGAACGGAAGAAGGCCAAACAAATTGATGAAATGAAAAAGGTCTCATTATGCACGTGCTTAATTTAGTTGCGGAGAGAACTAGGAGGTTTGTAGTAGTAGTAGTTAATTAACATATTAATCACGCGAGATGCATGCGGCTCTTATTCATTTCCGCAACTTCTTCCGGGCACGTCGTGGTAGCAAAATACCATTTTAATTGCTTTGCAAAATGACTAAATCGTCTCTTTTTTTTTTTTTTTTTTTCATAGATAGTTTGTAATAGATAGAGTGTTACAATGCAGTGGAAATATAAAGGCGGTAGTCAACCAACTAGGTTGCTACCGATGCAAGGGCCGTTTGTGCCACGCGATGGGCAGCCCTGTTAGTATGCCTAGTAACATAAATAAACCAAAAACGTAAAGAAAGTCTTCTTTCAGCAAACTCCTTCAAGCACCAAGTCGTCGAGTTCCAATAGCCTAGCAGTAGATTTGATGTGCAAGGTACCTGCAAAATAACACGCAGACAGCCCCTAACGGAACAAACAAAATTAAAATACAATTGGGCCTCCACCGAAAATGCTACACAAGCTATATAGACTATGCCCTCTGCAACACAAACAAATATGGCAAAGCCAACTAGTAGAAGAAATATACTCCATTTCGGACGACAACCAAATCCTCACTATCATTAAAAGACATCGAATTACAAAACAATTGCAACTCCCATCAAAAATACCAAACACAATCGTAAACATAATAATAATTAAATATAAATTTAAGAAAGAATTAATAGACTTATCTGAATGTAGGATAGGATCCGTGATTGGAATTGTGACTGCCTATCCATTAGAATTTTAACCGCCATGAAGTTATAACCGTCCGAAGGCCCGAGCGTTTTGAACAAGAATGAAGCCACAGGAGAGGTAACTGTACAAAGATGTAACTGCAGCCCACTAGCCCGGCCGATCGTCGGCAAGACTCGTCATCCGCCGGAAAGACTCACCGAAGATCCCAGCCCACAACTCCTGCAAAAAATATGCAAAACTCACCGGAAAAGGGTGTCAGAGATGGGGAGACGCCACGAGTGGCTACGCACAAGGGCGTTGGGCAGCAAATTGCTGGAGCGCACAGTTGCGGAGAGAAGTAAAAATCAAAATCGGCCTAACTCGACCCTTCTATCGGGAATCATCGTAGTGCGTGAACTTCTTATCTGACACGGGATTAGCGGAAGAACCTCCCCAAATGTGTAACTGTCATTGTTGTATCTTCTTGAATTGTAACCGCCGAACTTGTAGAGATCGACCTCGACGATTCAGTACTTGTTCTTTCCTTGGATGTAATCAAACAGCGAGAGGAAGCCGGTTGTGGAGGCGTCGACGAGGAAGATGTCCTGAATCGGATCAGTGGTAATCCAAACCGACAAGTTATAGCGACGATTCGCCCTTCACCGTTACTTTTGTCACGAACCCAGATTCATCTCCCAGTTATTTGCGCAAGAAAAGCCAAGAAGGGATCTGGCAGCCTGGATAAGCATCTCATTCCTTGGTGGCACTCTGTATGTGAAAAACGTAAAGTGTGGAATAATTGGAGGGGAAGCTCAGCTGTAAGCTGAGCTCTTTGTGGCTTATATAGCCACTTTTGTAATTAGCAGAAATGTAACACGTGTCCATACATCATTGGTTCTTTGATTTAAACTAACAGTAACATTAACGGCTAACTAGACAAAGATAAAACGCTGCCGTTCATTTAAACTCCTCAGCATCCATTCTTCTCTACGACACCGTCTTCCACAGCACTTCTCTTCTTCTTCGTGACGACGCCGTCTTCAATTACTCTTCAATCCGAATCCAGTGAGGATTGCTTTCCTCTGCTGTTCTTCTTTGTCACCCCCCTTCAAGTTGGTGGTGCACCTGTAATCCCCAACTTGCTCATGATTTCTCTCATTCTGAAACGATCCAAACCTTTAGTAAAGATATCTGCTAACTGCTCCACTGTCCCAACATGCTGCAGCTTGATTAAACCAGCTTTAATCCTATCTCTTGTAACATGGATGTCTATCTCGATGTGCTTGGTTCTTTCATGGAAAACAGGGTTTTCTGCTATGTGAATAGCTGACCTGTTGTCACAATATACAAGAATAGGAAGTGGTACCTGCACTGTCAGTTCAGCAAGCAGTCTTTTCAACCACTCTAACTCACAAACCAAATGTGCCAAGGCTCTATATTCAGCCTCAGATGAAGATCTTGAGACTGTCGTTTGTTTCTTGGTCTTCCATGTAAGGAGTGAAGAACCAAGGAATGTGCAATATCCTGTGATGGAACGTCTGGTATCAGGGCAGCTTGCCCAATCTGAATCACTGAAACCAACTATTTTCTCTTCTGCTGTGTTGCTGAAATGAATGCCCTGATCTGGTGAAGACTTCAGGTACCTTAAGACTCTATAGGCAGCCTGCATATGTTCCTCACAAGGATTCCTTTGGTATTGGCAGAGTTGTTGTACTGCAAATACTATGTCTGGTCTTGTAATTGTGAGATAATGAAGCCTACCAACCAGCCTTCTGTAAACTTCACCATCTTTTAGCAAAGTTCCCTTGGAACTCAGCTTTACCTTTGTATCAATGGGAGTCTTACATCCCTTTGCTTCCAAATAACCTGTATCCCTTAATAAGTCAACACAATATTTCCTTTGACACACATTCAAGCCATTTTGGTCCCTGGTCACTTCTAGTCCAAGAAAATACTTCAATGGCCCTAGAAGTTTCAATTTAAACTCTCTGCTTAAGGCTGTCTTCACTTGATCTATGTCCTTCTGGGCATCACCTCCAACTAAGATGTCATCAACATACACCAGTATCACTGTTATCCTTCCATGTGTCCACTTGGTAAAAAGTGAGTAATCAGACATTGACTGAGAGAAACCCAACTTCAGTAGAAAACTGGTAAGCCTTGCAAACCATTGCCTGGAAGCTTGTTTCAGGCCATATAGGGATTTTTTCAATCTGCAAGTCATCCTTTGATTTCCTGTTGAGTTCACTTTCAGTCCTAATGGGATTTTCATGTAAACCACCTCATCCAATTCCCCATGCAAGAATGCATTTGACACATCCATCTGTTCCAAAGTCCAATTCCTCAAACTTGCAACTGCTAGGAAGGTTTTCACTGTGTTTATCTTAGCTACTGGAGAGTATGTATCCAGAAAGTCTATTCCATAGACTTGTGTATAGCCCTTGGCTACCAGTCTGGCCTTTTCTCTTTCCAAGGATCCATCAGGCTTGAATTTGTATTTAAACACCCATTTGTTACCTATCTCTTTAACATTTGGGGGTAATGGGACAACATCCCAAGTCTGATTCTCCTCTAGGGCATGTAACTCTGAGTTTACAGCCCTATTCCAAACATCAGATTTGATTGCTTCATAGTATGACCTAGGCTCTACTAGGTTCATAATATTCAGTGCAAAGGATCTATCATTATGACTCAATCCATCAACATTCAAGCACAAAGGGTGTCTACTACAGAAATTTGATTTCCCATAGGTGCCAAAAGTAATGTTTGGATCAAGTTCATAGTCCTTGTACTTACTTGGAAGTGTGGTCTTCCTTCGAGGTCTGTTCTCAATTGTTTGATCTACCAAAATGTCACAGTCAACATCAGCTTGTTGCACCAACTCCTGTTCATCAGAATCAAAATAGTCATAGTGTTCATGCTGGCTGTGAGAACTTGTTGGTATACTTGGTACACTGTCAGGTGACTGGTCATCAGGAGGACCTTCAGACTCAGCTTCCCCCCTTTCATCCATGGATGGATGAAACTGAGGAGTGGATACATGTAAACCAGGAGCAGGTGATGGTGCAACTGGTATAGATGGAGAGACAGAAGTAGTAGAATCTGGTGAACCAGATTCATCAGGGTAGTGGAAAGGAAGTATTTTCTCATAGAAAATAACATCCCTGGACACAAAAACTTGTTTGGTATGGATATCCATAACCTTATAACCCTTGATTCCTGCTGGAAATCCCAAGAAAACACACTGTCTGGCTCTGGGGGCAAATTTAGTTCTCCCATGAGCAAGGGTAGATGCATAGCACAAACTACCAAACACTCTCAAATGTGCCAAAGAAGCTGGTTTCTGGAAAAGAACTTCAACTGGTGATCTGTTTTGTAGAATTGGGGTTGGTGTGCGATTGATTAAGTATACAGCATGTAAAACACACTCACTCCAATACTCTAGAGGCAGTCCAGATTGAAATTTTAAGGCTCTGGCCACATTAAGAATGTGTTGGTGTTTTCTCTCTACCCTTCCATTCTGTTCAGGGGTTTCTACACAGGAAACCTGATGTTCTATGCCTTCCTGAGAGAAGTAATCACACATCTGAAACTCTTTGCCTTGATCACTGCGAATGGATTTAACTGATTTGCCAAACTGATTTTTAACCAAACTGCAGAAGCCTTGTACTAAACCCCTTACTTCACTTTTATGCCTCATTAAATAAATCCAAACACAACGAGTGCAATCATCCACTATTGTAAGAAAGTACTGATAACCATCATAGGAAACAACTGATAAAGGTCCCCAAATATCCATATGCAGTAAATGAAACATCTCAGGTGCTGCATTGGTACTAATTGGAAAAGGTAGTTTGTGTTGTTTGGACAAATGGCAGACATCACAGTGTAATGGTTTCTGTTTAGTTACATTAGGGATGGTTTTGGAAAGCAAAGAAAGTCTATCATGACTAGGATGTCCTAATCTCCAATGCCATAAATGAAGGTCTTGTGTCTGGTAGTTGAAAGTTGAGGCAGCTTGGTGGAAAGTTGGTGAAGGTAAAGGGGTAGAGCTTTGAGGAAGAACCAGCTGGTAGAGACCTCTACACTCTCTTGCCAAACCAATCTTCCTCTGGCTTAGAAGGTCCTGAATTTCACAGTGATCAGAATGAAAGTGTAAGGAAATGGGGTGATCATGGGTTAATTTGCTGACTGAGATGAGATTGAAAGAAAAGGTAGGGACCAGAAGTACATCATAAAGAGATAGACCAGTAGGTAATTGGACTGTGCCTATACAGGTTACAATGACCCTGGTTTTGTTAGGTAAGAAAACATAAGTATCCTTAACTTCCTTATGAGCAGTAAACATGTTTAGGGAGCAAGCTATGTGGTCTGAAGCCCCTGTGTCTATTATCCACAGGTTGGAATTACTGGTTTGGTCAAGGTGAGAGGAAAAGGTGACATGTTTACCTGAGAAGTTAGGGAATGATGTGGGGTGTTGAAAGGCAGTAAAGGCTTGATGGTTGATGGATGGAGAGGTAGGAGGTGAAGGATAGGCATTAGTACCAACTTGCAGCAGGTTCCTGAGACGAGCCATTTCATCTGCAGTGAAAGCAAATGAATTTTGGATCATACCTTCAGTAGTTGTATTACCTTCAGGATGATGATCACCAGCTGCATTTCCAGTACTCTGAGCTACAGAACCAGCAAATCTTGGTGTGCTAGAACTGGAACTTGAACTGGAGTGTGAATGCCCATCTTTCTGTTGTTCTCCCTGTTTCTTCTTCAACCACCAGCAATCTTCAATGTTGTGGTTTGTCCTCTTACAATAGCGACAATACTTCTTCCCCTGATTGGTTTCTGCAGAACCCTTCTGTTGTTGTTGAGTCCCTGCAGCTAAAGCCAATGACTGATTCTTCTTCCCACCAGTTAATCCATCTGCTTTTAATTTCTGTTCATGCTGCAGTAAGTCATCGACAGCCTCTGAAACACTTGGTAGGGGTTTTTGCATCAACAACTGAGTTTTGATTACTTCAAATTCTGGGTTGATTCCTCTCAGAAAACGAATGAGATAGTCTGTTTCCTGCTTTTGAACAAAAGCAGTTACTGCAGCACAAGGAATGAGTGACCCTGGAGCACAAGCACATGGAACCACAGGACAAAACTCAACGTATTCATCCCATAATCCCTTAATCTCTGTGTAATACTGATTAATTGACCTAGTTCCTTGTTTACAAGCCAAAATCTCATCCTCTAGGTTGGCAATTCTCATGGCATTTGGCTGTCCAAAACGCCTCTTAAGTTCTTCCCAGAGTGTCTTACAACTGCTGTGATTCAACACTGCCCTTCGCAGTTCTTTAGTCATAGAGTTTTGGATCCAGCATAGCACCACTGTATTGCAGGCATCCCAGATTCCAAACATATCTGAATCCCTAGAAGGCATTGCCACTGACCCATCTAGGAAACCCAGCTTGTTCTTTGTTTTAAGTACTACTTGTATAGATCTACTCCACATAGTGTAATTTGTGCCATCAAACAACTCAGCAACCAAAGATTGAGCCATGTTTTCGTTTGGGTTGAGATAGAATGGGTTACCAAACGTAATGACCTCTGATGGCTGCTGCTGTTGTTGCCCAAAAGACCCAAATTGGACTCCACTGATATTGGAAGCACCACTGTTGCCATTGTCGTTGTTTGTTCTTCCTTGATTGCCAGGCTGCGGTGTAGATTGCTCTCCTGACATTTTGCTTGTGCAGCCTCAAACCCTAGGTCCTGGGTAGCTCTGATACCATGTGAAAAACGTAGGGTATGGAATAATTGGAGGGGAAGCTCAGCTGTAAGCTGAGCTCTTTGTGGCTTATATAGCCACTTTTGTAATTAGCAGAAATGTAACACGTGTCCATACATCATTGGTTCTTTGATTTAAATAAACAGTAACATTAACGGCTAACTAGAAAAAGATAAAACGCTGCCGTTCATTTAAAGTCTTCAGCATCCATTCTTCTCTACGACACCGTCTTCCATAGTACTTCTCTTCTTCTTCGTGACGACGCCGTCTTCAATAATTCTTCAATCCGAATCCAGTGAGGATTGCTTTCCTCTGCTGTTCTTCTTTGTCACTGTAGGCCTCCGTCTTCGTCGAGTTCTTCTTTCCCTTAATCACCAAACCGGAATCAACAAAGGAAGAAATAACACACGAGGGATCCAAAACCCTAGATCACGATCTCCGCCACGGAAACTTCAACCCAAGGCCTCTACGATGGACCTAACAGCCCACATTCTCTGAAAACGCGGTAAAACAGAAGGCCGCGAGCCAAGCCGGGAGATCTGACCGCTCTTCCAGCCGGAAACTGCGAATCCGACAAGCCTCAATCCCCGGAATCTTCGAATTCTCACCGAACGAACGACGAGCGGAAGCTTCTTGAAGCGATGAAACAGGCGTCGGGGCCGACGGGGAGAAACGAGCGGTTTCCCGGCGAGCGCTGAGGGGTTTCCCGGCGGAGGGAGCAGAGAGTAAGAAAGTAACCGCCCTAAAAGAGAAGATGCCTTCGCCAGCCCTAAAAGTGATCTATCACGCTAAATCGTCTCATTCTTTTGTTTTGCGCTATAAGAATAACAATGGTACAAATTGGGCACGGACATGTTGCTATCCACGTCTAGCTCGTGATAGGTCAGTTCGGGTCGGGTAATTTATCTTGAGGCATGGGTTAAAATATATCAAATTCTTATGAGTATGTATTTGAAAGGAAACATACATGAGATACAATCAATCAAGTAGGATGGATTAGATATAACTTATGTAGCCCTTAATTTATACTTTGATAGCCTTCTGTTTGATTCTCCGGATAAGAAATTAAAACGGCTGTAGACATTCAAATTCTAACTGATGATCAATCAGTAAAATATGAATTTTTCATATCCACACACGTATCAGAATTTCGATTTGATCAATCTAATTATGACTTATGATCCATTATATGAGCCAAGGAGTAGAAAGAATGGCAATACAAACAAAACTTTTTTTTTTTTTTTGCAATGATACCACCAAAACTCTAATATTCCACAAATGTATAGCCAAACAAAAAGTTGTACATAACATCTATATGTTATTTATCAATTATGTGATACGAAAAACAATATGAATCTTGCCGTTGGAATTTGTGGATTTATATGGTAAACGAAAAATGACAAGAATTTTTTTTTTATCCAAGATAAGCCCCCAGGGCATGGCCGGACGACAAGATACAAAATACATAATAATAAAGAACGGTAGCCCGTATGCAACCGGACTCCCGATAAAAGAGCCTGCTATGTAAACGAAAAATGACAAGAATTAACGACTAGATAATAACAAGCAGCACGAGAAATCTGTCGAGTATTTTAAAAGGAAAGTCGGATTCCCATAATCCCAACAACCAAATCCGTTCAAGCAAAGCATTGTGCAATTTGCAGCTGTGCTTCGATCTGTCCGTCGCCAACAAAACTAAGATCTTGGTTGTTGCAAGGAAAAACAAAAGAAATTGGATTTCCAAATCCATTGATGTAGATATGAGAGGACCTTATCTAAACGGAGTTAAATGTTGTCTTCCTTATTTTTTTTTTTAATAGTTAGATTGGAACCCAAGGTGTGCGTCCATAACAAGGTCATAGACCTTCTTAGGAGAATTTGAACAGCATTGAAAAAGTGTATGAGATTGTGTTTTCCCATTAAATTTCGGAATGAGCATCGAGCATCCTGTAGGTGATGAACTTTTCTCGAATGGTTGGAATGAGATTCTAGACGTTATTAATTATCTCTAACTTGAAATCTTATCTCTATATTAATTATAGTTTTACCATGTATATACTTATGGGATCGTTTCACATACTTTTGACAACTGAAATCATCAAATACATTATCCATCTGAATTTTTCTTTGCGACTGATACCCTTTGCCGCGATTCAATCTCTTTAGAGCAACCAACATCCAAGAACCAAGACACACAAATTAACTTTTAGTAGACAGTAGTCAAAGCAAAACTCACTTTTTCCCTCTCAAGTAAAAAAAGATGGCAAACAAAGTTAGGGAGATGAAAACTTGGAATTGGGTTTTAACTTGTACGTCTCATCGGAGCACTCAATTGCACAGTTGATCATCTTTGATTAACCTTTTTTAATTAAAGTGTCGTGAGTCGTGACTGACCAAACAAATCTAAATTAGTAAAAACTATAAAAAAAATAATAAAATAATAAAAAGGAGAGGGCGAGCGAAGAAACGTTCAAACCCGCCCACCACCAGACAGCAGGACTGACGATCCGCCCCTGTCCGGCCGTGACGGAACCGTACCACTTCACCGTAACTCTCAAATCTCAATTCAGCCGTCTCCTCGCCGTTACTTTCTCTTCCAAATTTATTTTTTTATTTAATTCTCCCGACGGTGACACTTGTATTCTAGTGCTTTTCATTCTCACCACTATGACAATGAGACTTGAAACGACAAAAAAAAAAAAAAAAAACCGGAATTTGATTCTAGATAAATTATCAAAAATTATGTTAAGAAATCGTAAATGGAAGAAATTGACGAAATACTAAGACCGAGAATCACAATACCGTCAAGATTAGCACACACAAAATTACCAATTTCGAGTCAGGATACCTAGAATAGGAATGACGAATTGTATTATAATCCTACGACGACGTAAATGATTATTGAATCGTCCAATTTGTGTTTGATGATTATTGGATACACATAATAACAGTGACCATAAATCATGATAGAATAATCCTTATTCCAAATGTCATTAGAACAATAGCTAGATCGTGCAAAGTTATATGTGTCAGTGTCGCAAACTAATTGGTCCAACAATTCACCTGCTCGAACAAAAAATTAACTCATAGATATGAAGCGACTTGAACACATGCCTTCAGCTATCAGATCAAAATCTGATACCATGTCACAAAATAATTGATCTAATAACTCGACTTATTAAGAGAAAGTGGACTCTAACATTCTGTCACGGCAATAAATCGAATTGTCGGGAGACACCGTGCCGGAATCTTTAACTCCAATACCGACCTCTTGTTTGACTTGTCGCCGGAGAAGCAAGAGCCGGGACCCGCGAGCCCTCCTCCCGGCACTTCACAAATCTTCATCTGTGCTCCGGCGCCGGTCCCACACCATTCGATACTCCACCGTTGTCCTCTGGAATCTAACGGTGTACCATCTCCCATCTGTACATTACTTTCATCACACTTGTACATTGACAACAGAATAATGATAAAAAAATAATTACAAAACGGAAATGGAAAATTCCCATCCCCACAAAAGCGAAAAGACCAAAGAGGCCAAAAAGGAAACGCCACCGCATCCCTTTCATTCATTCTGTTCTTCTCTCCTTCACAGAAAAAGGGGAAATTTTCACAAAAAGAAAAGGAAGAAAGGGATTTTTTTTTTCAATTAAATTATATAAAGGGGGAAAAAATGTAGAGGAAAAGGAAATATCATGAATGTGAATAATAATGTCTTCACCATGTTTTCATGCCTTTGTCCCCTCTTTACGGTAAAGCATTAATACCACCAATTCTCTTGTTTTTATACTTTTTATTCACTTTTCCTAATTGCAAATTAGAATAAGGGTGGGAAAGTGGAATGCTCCTCCAATCTCCATTGCTCATGATATAATTAGAATTTAGAACCCAAAACACTTTGTTCTGCATAATCCATTATTATGTAAGATACATATCAATACGAATGTCCCACAAATGTTATGTATAAGCTCGAAGAATAAATTATAGTCTGCCACATCAATAACATGTAAATCTAATTATCTAAAGAAATTTGATGTTTTGATGGGGGTGGGAAATTTGTAACAAAGTTAGTTGGGTAAAAGTAGGGCTAAGGCTAACAACCAGTATCTCAGTCCGACGAGAACATCTTGACAAATAACCACTTCATTATTGTAGCTTAGATGATAGTGATCGAATCGATTTGTTAGCTGAAACAACATTTCCTTAAACAAACCCTGTTTGTGCCCAACAAGAGGAAGGGTGAATTCATCCAATCATCAATGCATAATTATTTTTGTTTAGATGAGATTAGTGAGATGCTCGATGGGACTAGTGGCGATGAGGCTGCACAACGCTTTTATTGAGAGTTGGTGACTCTCTGTGATGTTCGTAGGTGGTGCGTGCAGTTGGATTTGCAAATAGGTTGTACTCGAGGTTGATGCAAAAAACAGTTGTTGACCAGGTGAATAATCAAAGTCGGAATGATGTGTTTGATGATGCGGTATTTGAAGAGATACAAGGCTTGTATACGCATTTACCTAACTATCGCAATCGATTTTTTCAATAATAGAATAATAGAATGACCTATCTTTTTTTTTAAAGATGATCTTTTAAGTTTTATCCCATAACCAAAACAAGGGAAGCAGACAAGTTACAGGTATGACGACAAGACATATTTTATTTTATTCCTTTCCGACTCAAGCGGAAGCATTTTCTCTTCTCCACGTTGCAATGCTTGCGGTTCAAGAAAACTGTCCTACCTGTATCAAATTTGATTGTCACGTTTCGACACAGGCTCTACTGAAAGCTTCAGATCTCTGGTCATGGCATTGTCGAACAACGATGGCTCGTATCATCCACGTCATTTTAATGTTGGCTCAAAATGTCATATCTTTATGATCTCCTCGTGTTGTCATGGATTAGTAGTGTACCTCACCATCTTGGTTCGGTAACACAAGCTAACTATATTTTGAAAAAGGAAAACCCGTTGAGTCCTTTTTCAGTTGCCGTCTCAGTTCCTTTCGACGGTTCATTGCATGTGTCAATGGAATTAGGAGATACTCATGTATCATACACACAAAACTTTTTTGGCCCAAAATTACGCATAATAATTATTTTTCTATATAAAATGACAATATTAGTTCCTTTAGCAAATTTGTAGGAAGGGCAAATTGAAATTAAAAAAAAAATCCCCAAATTTGAGTGTATTTGTTTACTCAGTGGTGGGATCTTTCAGGCTTCTACGGCAGGAGCCAATTTGACTTTTGGAGAGAAAGAAAGAGGAGAGGAGAAGAGGAGGAGGAAAAATGGCGAGGAAAAATCAAGCCTTTGCCTTGATTGCTAGGATATTACAGAATTTTCCTTCCTAATTTCCCCCTCCTTTCGCCCCTCTTTTAATGGCCTTGGTTTGAGTTTCTGGGTATTCCAGCGCAGATCGGATTCTTCAATTCCCTTCAACAATGGATTCCTCTTCCAATGTTTCTCTTGATTGCTGATAGCCCTTTTCAGCTCCCCTCTCCCTCTTTAATGGGTTGCAGGAAATTCACTCTCTTCTTAACTTTCCCCAACCACTTTTTCGAATCCAGTCCTTCGGCCGCCGCCGTGCAGACGGCGGAGTTGTAACGAATCGCCGACGTTTGAGAACAGAAAAGAAGAAGAAGGAGGAGGAACCACGGAAGAGAAGGCAGAAGAAGAATCGGCGATGGAGGAAACGAATTCCTCCTGGCTACGGCGGACGAAATACTCCCACACGGTTTGCCATCGCTTCGAAACGTCGCAGCTGGCGTCGTACCGTTTCGACGTCGAGCAAGAGCAGCAGCAGCGGCAGCAGCTGCGGGGGACGAGGTCGTTTAATGGGTTAGCGTCTTCCGTGGAGAAATCGATTTCCGCTTTCGACCAGAAATTAGTTTCCAAGCCCAATCGGGATTCTAATCGGCGTGATTCCGTTTCTGGTGCTATTTCGATTTCTCCCCCTTCCCCTCTTTCCCCTCCGGCGTTAAATCGCCGGGTTTACTCCCAGATTCAGCGCAATCCGGTGATGAACAAGCAGAGATCTATGTCGCCGGTGCCTCAGACCTCCGTCCCGGATTCGTTCAAGGAAGCTAAGTCAGACAAGAAGCGGTATTCAACCCCCCACCCTAGGCGGAGGAAAGATCATCACGAGAGTAAAGGAATCATGGGGAAATTGTGGCATCACAACCACAAGCCGCACCAGCAATCTCACGAATCCAAGTCCGTCGAATCGAAATCGGTCGTCGAATTGAGCAAGAACGATGACAACAACAACAACGCGAGCCCAATTCGGCACCTGAATTCGGTCAAGGGGAAGCAATCGGCTTGGACGAAGTTCTTTGACCACGCCGGAGGGAGAGTCAACGCGGTGGAAGCTGCAGATGAATTCAGCGTCGACATGTCGAAGCTTTTCTTGGGTCTGAAATTTGCTCACGGAGCTCATAGCAGGTTGTACCATGGGTTGTACAACGATGAGCCTGTTGCGGTGAAGATGATCAGGGAACCAGATGATGACGAAAATGGAGCACTAGCTGTTCGATTGAAGAGCCAGTTCGATAGGGAGGTCTGCCTCTTGTCCAGGCTCCGCCATCCTAATGTGATTAGGGTAAGTCCATCTCCTGATCTTTATGCTTGAAATTGGTTGTCCTGAGTATCATGTAATTCTGATTGCTTCGTTTTCTGCACTACACAGTTTGTGGCAGCTTGCAAGAAGCCTCCGGTCTACTGTGTTATAACCGAGTATCTACCTGAGGGATCGTTGAGAGCATACTTGCACAAGCTAGAGGAGAAGTCTCTGCCTATGGAAAAGATAATAGGTTTTGCATTGGACATTGCTCGAGGGATGGAGTACATTCACTCTCGTGGTGTAATCCATCGTGATCTAAAGCCGGAGAACATTCTGATCGACGAGGATTTCCATTTGAAGATTGCTGATTTCGGTATAGCTTGCGAGGAGGCTTACTGTGATATGTTGGTTGATGATCCGGGTACATATAGATGGATGGCGCCCGAGATGATCAAGAAGAAATCCTATGGTCGAAAGGTCGATGTGTACGGATTCGGGTTGATGCTCTGGGAAATGGTTGCTGGAACAATTCCATATGAGGAGATGAATCCCATTCAGGCTGCTTTTGCGGTGGTTAACAAGGTAATGATTTGGATTGCTATCATCCATTTCTCATATGCTTTCTTCTAGTGTCATATTGAATTGATGGTTTGTTTGATGGAAAGATTGAAGCTTAATTTTCTGGGTAAGGTTGTTTATGCCAATGAGTTGACAAAAGGAGATGTTTGAGAAGCTTTTGTGGTCATTAATGAAGCACAATTTTAATGGTCCTCTCCCAACTTTCCATAAGGGATAAGAATGGGAATGAAAGAATGCAGATTGATAGAAAAATAGTGTCTTTGATAGTTTGGGCAAAACCCCATAAGTTTGTCCCTCCTCTAATGTGGAATAAATTTCCTTTTGGTTTTTTCAGAACTTGAGGCCGGTGATTTCGGCGGACTGCCCTCCGGCAATGAAAGCCTTGATTGAGCAATGCTGGAGCTTGCAGCCAGAGAAGAGGCCGGAGTTTTGGCAGATCGTGAGGGTGTTGGAGCAGTTCGAGACGTCGTTGGCTCGGGATGGGAATCTGAACTTGGTCCTGAACCCAAGTTGCCATGATCACAAGAAGGGGCTTCTCCACTTGATTCAAAAGCAAAAGCTTGGCCCTGTGCATCCTAATAGTTGCCCAACGCCCAAACCTAAGTTCATGTGAATGAATGAATCCCTCTCTCTTGTGTTTCAATGTCTCGGCTTGTGTTTTTTGGTAGTGGGCTTGGGTTACTTGTAATTAGAAAAACAAAGGAATGAAGAAGGAAACAGGAAATGACATGTTTTTTGTCTCCTCTCTTCGACTCCATTTGTGCAATCCACATTGATATGGGAATTTGAATGAATTTTTTTGGTTTGCTTGTTGCCATATCTCCAAAGCTATACAATCTTTGCCTATCTTTTAGTTTGTTTTGTCTCGTAGCAGAGCAACCCATAACACCAATATTGTCGTTTCCTATTAGATTTTGTGATTCCATTATACATGGAAGGAGAGTTTGTCGGCCGAGACAAATCAATTGCAACCATATGACTATAATATACCAGACAAGAGAGTTTGTTTTGCTTCCTTGCAAGTTTCTTCCTTCCCATGTTGGTTGGCTGATGTATTTTAGGATTGTTTGGGAATTGATTGTGGAATAGAGACTTGGGAAGTTGCAGTTGTTATATGTTTGTTGTGTCGCGGGTGAAAGTGAGCAAAGAATGCAAGGTGGATTCATCCGATGTTTCCATGATTTTGGGTTGAGATGTCATTCTTTGTTGTCTATGACTATTGTGTGACCTTTTTGCTTTAGGTTGATGAAAATAGCAATGAGGCTAAAGTACTTGAAGAGAAGAGAACATTGATTGCTTGTAGAAAAAGTTTGGTTTAGTATGTATGAAGAATGAAGCATTTCTCGATGGAAAAAAAAAAAAGAAAATACTATTATTCCTAGATTGTTGAATTCCAAATGGTTAGGCTTGGGGTAATTTAGAATTTTTTGTGTGTTTCTCTTTCTGCTAAAAGAATTATGTGTATTTGACCCACATGTAAATTCGTATTATTCGCACACAGAAAATGTACTTAATGGATATATGTTGAGATGATTTATTTACAACACAAAGGTATACAAAGTCAATCAAGCTCAATTTGATTTTTGTTTAGTTCTCTTATCTCATTACAAAAGAAGATTTCTTTCGTTATCTTGTACCGTTGTTTATGGAAATGAAATAAATATATTACAAAATCACTGTATATTTTTCTTTGGTGTAATAAGATGCAACTTACACGCTATTAATGTTGTGCATTTTTAATGAAGTGATATTTTATTCATGTAAATGGAGATTTTTCGATAATATTATGATTGTAAAGCTACTAGGTTAGGTCGCCAACTAGATTATGCGATTGTTGGCTCACTTTTTAGTGAAGTTTAAATGAGCAGTCATTGCCACGATGATTGCTTCTAAATCAATGTGTACATGGTGCATATGAAGGTGACTATAATAATACTACAATAGATACTAAACAAATGAAATACATACAAGTATAAGTATACGACATAGGCGCTGGAGCAGCGATTAAAGTTGAAGGTGAGATAGAGAAAAGGGAAATGACAATTCTTTTCTCCCAGTGACATGAGCCACAAGGTATTAGTCATGTTTTCACCTTGGTATTTTGACTTTATATTTTGTCGAGTCTTTAGGTTAAGCCGATGAGCGTCCCTAAGGCCGCGAGTTAAAGTCTCTCTCACTCTAACATATTTTTTTAATAACTTAAATGAAATTTATTTCTTAAAAAAACATTGGGTACCAAAGCACAATCCGCTGAAAGTTTAGTAATTAAAAAGACAGGTGACTAGAAAACTGGATATTTGTTTCTTCCCATCTACAATCACTCTTGGCCATCTCATGAGCCACTTATTTCAGCATCGACCCCAAAATCTCCAATCCACCATACGCATCTACTCGTCCTTTTGCCTAATTTCTTCATAAATCCTAGTTATTTCCAACCTCAGCCTCCTGATGGTGAAGCTTATGAATCATTGTTTGTCAATCGGTCTCAACAATGAGAGGAAAGAAAGAATGTGTATGCGTGAGTCTCATTCTCCACATCATCGCCTGGGCTTCCGCTAACTTCGGTGTCCAATGAATATATTTTGAATCCCTTCTTATTGCAGCTTGCCTTTATTTTTCCTAAAAGAAATTGAAATATTTGACCATGAATATAGAGTTCTCGGTACTCCTACTTCAAAATCTTTGTTTTGATATATGTTTAGTTTCCTTCAATATCTCACAACATAAGAGAAAAAGATTTCCTTCCATATCTAACAATTTACTTACAGAGGTCCATCATTTATTGTATAGGAGAAAAATTTGAAAGTCTAGCTATTGAGTGATTTTTCATGGGAATATTATGAGCCTTGTATTTACTCATGCAATAGCATGCATCAATGTGCATCACAATGTGTATGATTATATGAACAAGATCATGCAATGTACAACTATGTAATGTATACATGATTCTATTCTTGTGTTCGGCCCATTTGCCGGTACTATTAACTTAATTAATTTAATATTATTATCAGGAAAAAATGTAATCTCATAACCCTTTTTATCATGTTGATTCAGATTCGCATTATCAAGTATTCTTATCCATCCATCAAAGATCTCACTTATATATCTTGCATCGCTGAACGCTTCCCTTATGATATCTCGACCAATATATTCGATGTTTGATTACCAACTAACTTGCCCTATTCCACATCAACCTCACATACTAATCCTTGTATTAATTTTTGTTTTCAGAAGCGTCCCTGGCTGGCTTTCATGGGCAGAGTGTTCATGGCTGCCACACGCTACAATAAGTTATCCATTAAAATCACAGGGTCAGGAACTGTTGATCACGAAGGGGTCATTCTATAATGCAGTTTTTAAGTGAATTATTGAGGGAGGGGGATTAAGAACTTGATTAATTTGTTAGTTAGTACTTAGTAAACGTTATCTTGTGGGATTAGGTGGGTTGATGATGGGAGTGTCATAAGACAAATACTCCCATCACTTCGAAATTTCTGTCTTGAATATGATGATTCAGTACTATGACATTTTAATTAGTTGGTGCAGATGCAATGAAACTAAAACGTCAGCTGATAGGAGGCCATTTGAAGAGGGGGATTAGTGGCCCAAGTTTGTTGATGTAAGACTTGTCTTCTTTGTCTATTTGTAATTAGTAATGAGGAAGAAGAGGGTGTCTAGTTGTTTGGATTTTTTTGAATTTTCAATCACAAAATAATGGTGTTTGTGAAATCGTATTGTACTGGACGATAGAAAATGTTACATTATGCTCGTATTAGGTTTATTTGTTTTTATCATGGTGTAAAATTGCATTTACAAAATTTAATTTTTTATATCACCTTTCGTTATATTTTAATTTTTATTGTTGTTCTTACCAAATATACCAAATTAGAAATGGTAATTACAAACAGACGTTTTGGGAGTAATTAATTAGAAATGGTAAGGAGACTAGCGAGGCCTAATGTGGTAAAATCGGCCTGCCATTTCAATCGGCTGGATCTGTAACTCCCACATCTGGGCTTCAAGCCCAAAATTTTTTCCAACTTTATTGGGTTAGAGAACAGTGACGTTTCTTTGTATTACGGCCCAGTACTGATCTGCAACCAGGAAAAAAAGCTTCTACTAGGGTTTCTCTCTAGCTCTCGAGTCTTCCATCCAGGCTTGTTCCAAAACCTCTTCACCTTTCTTCCGCCGGAAAAATCAATCCTCGGTGTTCACTACTCAGATCAGAAAACAATCAAACCATGGCTTTCGAAGTCGGCGCTGTCCCGTTCAATCCCGACGGCTGGGGTCCACCGGACGCCACCACGACCATCACCAACACCTCGTCCCTACCGCTCAACGTCCCCTTCGCTCCCTTCTCCCGCGCCGAGAAGCTAGGGCGAATCGCCGACTGGACCCGCAACAATCCGAACGCCGGTAGGCCCAACGCCGGGAAGAACGCGTCCGATTCGGTATTCGATTTCACAGCCGACGATTCCTTCCCCGCCGCAGGCGGAGCTGGGGACGAGGACTTCCGCCTCGTCGACGGGAAGCTTCCCACCCGCCCGAAATTCGGCCCCAAGTGGCGGTTCAACCAGCACCGGCCGCAGCTCCCTCAGCGGCGCGACGAGGAGGTCGAGGCGAAGAAGCGGGAGGCGGAGAAGGAGAGGGCGCGGCGGGACAGGCTGTACAACCTCAACCGGTCGAACCAGAACCAGCAGCGTCGTGAAGCGGCGGCGTTCAAATCGTCGGTGGATATTCAGCCCGAGTGGAACATGTTGGATCAGATCCCCTTCTCGACGTTCTCCAAGCTCTCGTTCGCCGCTCCAGAGCCGGAAGATCTGCTCCTCTGCGGCGGATTGGAGTTCTATGATCGGACCTACGATAGGGTCACGCCCAAGAGCGAGCGCCGGCTGGAGAGGTTCAAGAATCGCAACTTCTTCAAGGTTACCACCACCGATGATCCGGTGATTCGCAGGCTGGCAAATGAGGACAAGGCTACCGTATTTGCGACTGATAGTATTCTGGCCACTCTGATGTGTGCTCCAAGGTCAGTTTATTCATGGGATATTGTGGTTCAGCGAGTTGGGAACAAGCTGTTCTTTGACAAGCGTGATGGTTCCCAGCTCGATTTGCTTTCGGTCCATGAGACGTCGCAGGAGCCTTTGCCCGAGGCAAAGGATGATATCAACTCTGCTTATTCATTAAGTGTTGAAGCTGCTTACATTAACCAGAATTTCTCCCAGCAAGTGTTGATTAGGGATGGGAAGAAGGTTACTTTCGATGAACCAAACCCTTTTGCTAGTGAGGGAGAGGAAGTTGCCTCTGTTGGGTATAGGTATAGGAGGTGGAAGCTTGACAACGAAATGTACCTCGTTGCTCGATGCGAGGTGCAGAGCGTTGCTGAAGTTAACAACCAGAGGTCGTTCATGACTCTGAATGCGCTTAACGAGTTCGACCCCAAGTATTCTGGTCTTGACTGGAGGCAGAAGTTGGAGACTCAACGAGGTGCGGTTTTGGCTACCGAGCTAAAGAACAATGCTAACAAGTTGGCCAAGTGGACTGCGCAGGCGTTGTTGGGCAGCGCAGATATGATGAAATTGGGATATGTTTCTAGAGTTCATCCGAGGGATCATTTCAACCATGTGATTCTGGCTGTTGTTGGTTACAAGCCTAGAGACTTTGCTGCACAGATTAATCTGAACACTTCCAACATGTGGGGTATTGTGAAGAGCATTGTCGACTTGTGTATGAAGCTGAACGAGGGCAAGTACGTGTTGGTGAAAGATCCTTCTAAACCTCAAGTGAGAATCTATGAGGTTCCTGTTGATGCTTTCGAGAATGATTATGTGGAGGAGCCGTTGCCTGAGGATGAGCAGGCGCAGCCACCGGCTGAGGGTGTGGAGAATGGCGAGGCAAATGGTATTGCGAATGATGTGGAAGATAAAGCAGTTGAAGCTGCTCTAGCTTGAAGGTAATGTTCTTCCTTAGCCTTCTAACACTATGTCTTATTCGTGCTAGTTTTATGAGCCTATCTGCACTTATTAACATCCTCGCTACGCACAATGAATTATACTTAGAGGGATATTTGAATCGTACAAGATCAACCAGTGAACTAAAAATGGTTATGGAACATAAAGGCCTGACCTTTTCTACTATCAGATCATGTTGGAACTAGATCTACCATTTTGCTTTCGAAGCCATTGATATTTGCTTGTTTACATAGGAAGTAGAACAGTCTTTCCTTGTCCAATTTGACGCATCAAATGAACTACGTAGATGTGGACTTTTCTGGTGATTGAATCTATCAGCCACTCTGTTGTCATTCTCTTATGACTAGGCATTGAACTTTAGTTAAATCGTTAAATTGAGCTTGGATATTTACTCGGGAATACTGTCTGTTGCTTCTTTGATAGGTTAGATGTGGATGGCTCGATGTTACCTGTGAACTGAACACCGATGATCCAGTTCCTGCAAAGCTTGTCGACTGACAATCGAAGAGCAATCTTCTCATGCACCTCTTTTTATATATTTTGGCTTTTAGTTTAAACGGTTGTAAGTTTTTTTGGTATCTGTTGAGTTTATTGGGCACTTGTGTTTCTGCTTGCACATTCATGTCCCAATTTTGCTAGAATGATTACTGTTTTAGTGTACTCGACGGAAAATACAAACATATTTGGAATTTGAGTAACAAGGTAGTTTTCTTTTATTTTTTTTATTTTAGGCAGTGGCTGGCTCTTGTGTATTGGGCCTATGGGCCTCTTGTTACCTACATGTCTTTTAGTGGGCCATTTAATAGCCGTCTGGCTGGCTCTAGATTTCGGCTTACAATCTTATAGGCCCATTGATTTCGTCTTTTAGTGGGCCGTTAAGCCACTCTTAATCAGAAAAGGACTTAACAAGCCCGAATATTATAGCAAGTTCGATCAGAGTCACAGACGATTAAGTGAAGATCGGGGAAGGTGATGAGGTGGTGGCCGATGGCAATCCTCACTGGGAATGGACCGGGTGGGTTGCGGGTCGGGCAGGTTGACCCAATGGGTATCCAATTTATATGGAAAATATTAAAAATATTAGTTGATTTTATTATAAGATGAAAAAACAAATCATATTACAATAAATGTAGGTAAATTATTGGATAAATTGAAATTTTCACTAATTTACAACTGTATTATAGCTAAAAATATGATGTAATAAAAGGAAAATCATGAGTGATTTGACTAAGTTTACATGTAATTTAGACAAAAACGGGTGGAGAATGGGGCGGGTCGATAAGAGTACTCATGCCCGTCCCGGCCGCTTACGGACTCGTCACATAACAGGCCAGGTCGGGTAAAACGGTTCAGGTCGAAATTACCATCCATAATCCTAAAAACGGGTGGAGAATGGGGCGGGTCGATAAGAGTACTCATGCCCGTCCCGGCCGCTTACGGACTCGTCACATAACAGGCCAGGTCGGGTAAAACGGTTCAGGTCGAAATTACCATCCCTAATCCTCACTCCTCCGGAGGCCTATTAGCTGGTTCCTTGCTAGATAACCAAACCGGTTGGTTTCTGGGCCGATTAGGGCTAGGAAGAGGGAGTGTGCACCATCTGTGAGCAGACAGGCCAGAGTCCAACGAGATCTCTGGACCCAAACTCCACTCCAGGGCTTTCGAATATAATCTGTGGGGATCTCTATGCATATGATTTTCCAAAGTGCAATCAATGACGACGCAGCTTTCAATATCAAGGGGCAGCATTAATTTAACAGCTAAAGAAGTACGTGGTAGCTAAGCATACTTGAAGAACAACACGTAAGTGGTTAAAGTGGAAGATCAGTGGTCCGCTGGATTCCTGCAATTTTCAGCTTCTTGTGTTAGGGCCACTCTCTCTTCCTTATTTAGGGTCGCAGGCAGGCAGGCAGTACTATTGTTTTCTATCAATTTATTGGGTTGGGAAAATGGGGATTTAGATGATTCGCTCGTTCGTTGGCACCAGCACACGAAATTTCGGATTAGGGCAACAGAATTTAGAGCAGCAGCATCTTCTAGCAGCCAGTATAGACGTGCGAGCTCAGTTAAGGACACGACTAAATCTGGGTAGCAAAAGTTCGGTCTGCAAAATGTTGTATCTGATTTCATTAGAGTTTACCTTTTCACCCCCACGATGATACAACCCTATAAGTTGATCGTTGCGACCGAAACTCGGGTTCATATTTCATAATTCGTTTTGTTTATGTTGTATCCAAATTCTTGAAATCGTCTTCAATTTCATTAGAGTTTACCTTTCGCTCCTCCACGATACAACCCTAAAAGCTGATAGTTGCGTCACCGGAACTCGGGTTCATTCTTCATGTTAGCGAACTAACCACTTGGCCCCAATAACTCGAGTTGTTGGGAAAGGGATAGTTAAGCCTTTTAACCTCTTATACGCCCCCTCAAACGAAAGCCTACCTTTGTCGGGGTTATTTATACGGTTTGCACAGGTTGAACGTATCATTCCTTGTGCTGCCAAACCCATTAGGCTTTCAGTTTGTACAGGTTGGACATATCATTCCTTGTACTAAATCATTGTTTGCTTAAATTGGGGGTCGTCATGAGGATTCGAAACCATGACCTTTCGGTTCTAGGCTCTGATACCATGTTAGCGAACTAACCACTTGGTCCCAATAACTCGAGTTGTTGGGAAAGGGATAGTTAAGCCTTTTAACCTCTTATACTTCATAATTCGTTTCGTGTATATTGTTAGGTACATGGTACAAAACACTATAATCGATACACACAAGAAAGATGTTCATTTAATCTTACATATTTACTATAAGACAGATGCATACCCCGAAATTACTATATTGTTTAACCCTACGCTGCGAATGGTTTCAATTCAAAATTTGGCATATTCCTTGATGGTAAATCTGTGTGCAAATTGTTGAGCAGATGTTTAGGGGACATGCGTTGGAATGTAAATGGGCAGAATGGAGAGATTCGTCCATTGGACTGGATTTGATTACCTAAGCTTCCGCTGCAGCTCTTATCTGATCAAGTAATTAAGAAGTACTTTATTCTTATACTTTTACAAAGTTCAAGCTTGGGTAAGCTCTTGGCATTCAATCCAACTCACTAACTAATCTGCGGAGCCAATTGTTAATGTACTAATGTAGAGAATGCACTGAAACTTGAGCCTGATTTTCTTCTTCTTCTGAATACTCTGTAAGTCATATTAATACTATAATACATCGTACAACACCGACATAATAATACAATACTATATTTAAAAGAGAAGAATTATCATTTAAATGACTCGAACATATGATTTATCACAACAATTTATCACACTTATGCCCATATTAACGTTATAAAGCCCAACCATAATAAAATAAACTATTATAAAAGTTGTTTTCACACAATTACGTACTTACACGATATCTCATCGTCCTCTAATCGCATTGCGCCATCGTAACTCGTATCGGTGTGAAAATTAATGGGACAATGTTACTTTTTTTCCCACTGTGTCTAACGGTAACCCAGCGACAATAAAAAGGTTATTCCTCCCTATATCAACGCCTCTCTATCTAGCTATAGCCTCTGCTTGGTTCCTGCGAGAGCAAAAGGGTGAAGAGATGTGTCCAAAAAAGTTTGAAATTTTTTGAAGCTTTAAAACCCTATGGGCCTATGTGTCCATATGTGTAATAAAGGTGGTAAAACAGTAAATATAATTTTTTGCCCATTTCCGTGAAAATTGAAAAAGCCCTGAATCCAAAGGGTCCACAGCCCATGCATGCCGTAAAAAGGTATTGTTAAGCCAACTTTAAGCTAATTGGTCCACATCATTACCCTACAATGCACATTTCATTGTCGTTTTAACAAAGTGCAGTTTATTAAATAAGTCACCCAATAAAGGTTATAAGACAGTAAATATCATTTTCTAAAACTTGTAATTAAACGGGTTCAGGAAACAAAGCACCTCGGAAACTTCTACACAGAGGCATTTACTGATTAACGTAATTAATCAATCAATTAATTAAAGTCTCCATGTGAGATTCTGAAGCATTTGTCCCGAACGAATTTCCACAGCTTCCTTAATTCGTCGGTGTTCACCTTCCTCATCATTTCGGCTCTTGCTCGATTTTTTTTTAATCGACAATGAAATAGTAAATATTCTCGTACAGCAATTTGTCTTTTCTTTAACTTATTGATGGCGAAGTAAAAAAATCCAAATGATGGATTGATTTGAACCGTGGTAATTGAGAATGGACTAAAAATAAAATTTTACGGTTTATCTCGTTACGTTTTTAACCTCCCTACTAATTATGGGCAAGAGCCTATTAAAATATTTTCCCCTTTTTCCCGTGAGGTGGTGCTGCAATTAAGAACCCTAGAAAGAAGGCGAAGACAAAGGGAGATAGATTGCGGGTCACTCCTCTATTGAAATTTGTGAGACCTTTCAAAGAAATGATTCCAACCACTACACTAGTCTTCAATGTCTCTTTTACATTTGTACAACTATAAACAATTTAGCAAATGATGGATGGCGCTTTTAAAATGAATTGGATGGAATTTCATACAACCCATTATTCATATTTACGAGTGCAAATCTTTTGAAATGTATCAAAAGAGACAAATTAAATATTCAATCGATCACTCCTCATTGTGATATCGTTATTTCGAGACCATGTACTTAGCTTCTTCCTATATTTATTTCATTTACCTTAAAAGAGTGCTGATCGGGAGTAATCTCCAAATTTATGCATACGTATGATCATTAACAATCGAGTAGATTGATTAGGCCAAATCTGAATTATTGGTTAAACAAAAGTAACAACCCCAACTTCATAGAAAGTGGCATAAAGTAAAGTGCAATGATATCAAGATAGTCTTTTGCTCTTTGCAATGTAAAATTGTGACACACTTACAACTTACAAGGTTAAAGGCTTGATCTAAATCTGCATTGGATCCTAATTGTCCTAATTTGTCAGGGGCGGAGCCAAGGTTTCAGTTTCGGGGGCCCGAGTTATTTTACGGTAATATTGCAAAACAAGAAGAACAAATTTGTAACGAAAGCCACATATTGAAGTCTAAAAGAGTAAGTGATTTGTAAGTTATGAAATGATTGAACCATAGATTTCAACATAAAATAAATTACCTCTAGCTTTTTTTTTTCCTTCTCTTCTTCTTCTGTTAGTTGTTATCCTCAAAGTTCAAGCATAGAGTATGACAAACTTATCTTTAGTCCAATAATGGAATTGTCTCAATGTATCAAGAATGGAGTTAAGTGAACAAATTGATATTCAACCCCACAATTTCAATACATTTTTCAAAAATATTTCTTCTCCTCCTTTTCCTATAGTGGCTAGTGTTGGTGACTAAACTAAACCAAATGAAATTATCAATGATAAGTTTATAACCTAAAAATACAGCAAAAAAGAAATCGCTAATTCCCATAAGTCCTACTATATAAATAGCTCCTCCCCTCCTTTCAGCTTTCCATCTCACTACCTCCATCACACTCACTCACTCACTCTCTTTCAGTCTTTCTTTCTCCTTCCCCTTCACCACCCACAACAATGGCGTCCGCCGGAGCTTCAGCACTTCTTCTATCACTCTCCTCACTCCTCGTCCTCCTCTCCTCCGCCTTCTCCGAACCCCTCTTCTCCTCCTCCGCCGCCACCCCAGCCCACCCGCCGTCTCACCACCACCACCACCACGCCCACGCGCCAGCACCTTCCCCCTACCCTCACCACCACCACCACCACCACACTCACGCGCCTACCACTTCTCCCACTGCCGCTCCTACTCACGCTCCATCCCACTCCCCGCTCCACGCGCCGCCCACCCACTCCCCCGCACCCGCCCCAGCAAAACACCACCACCACCACGCTCACGCTCCGTCGCAGGCCCCAACTCCACACCACTCGCTCCCTCCACACCACGCGCCGGTCTCACCTCCCGCCGCCGCTCCTTCCCCGGCCAATGCCCACCCGCCGCGCCGCTTCCCCTTCGAGAGGCTCCTCGTCGCCGTCCAGGGCGTCGTCTACTGCAAGCCCTGCAACTACTCCGGCGTCGACACCCTCAACGGCGCCACTCCAGTCCTCGGTAAGCAAAAAAAACTTCACTAACAGCCAAAATGTCAAGGCCGTGTTTGTTTCTCGACTAATCTAATTGCATGCAGCTTTTGATATCGAGAAAAGGGGAGCATTGATATCGAGACAAACAAACGCTGCCCCTAAAAAGCAGGCTTTTTACTTTTTTATTTTACAGTCTGCTTTACCATTCTCCAACGAGAGGAATGAGAAATCAAATTTTCAAATTTTTTGTTGTTTTTTTTTATATTACAGGGGCTACAGTGAAGCTGACGTGTAACAACAGCCACGTGCCACAGGTCTTCAATGCCACGACGGACAAGAACGGCTACTTCAGGGTCAAAGCGCCGAAGACCGTGACCAACTACGGGGTCCACAAGTGCCACGGTGTCCTGGGCTCGACGCCGGACAAGGCCTGCGCCGTGAAGTCGAACCTCCACGGCGGATCTACCGGCGGGTACCTCCGGGTGGACAAGAAGTTCGTGGAGCTGAACCAGACCTACGTGCTCTTCACCGTTGGGCCCTTCGCCTTCGAGCCGCCCAAGTGCCACTAAAGCCCAGAGAGAGAAGAAAGCCCATTTAGTTTACGGGGTCGGTTGACTGCATGTAGTAGTTCGGTTGGTTTGATTTGGGAGTCGGTTGGTTGATAAAGTATGTACCGGTTTGATTGGATGTCTCTCTTTTAGATGTTTTGTTTGTGGGCTACTACTGAGTACTGTACCTCTACCGTTAATTAAAGCCGGATCGATTGGCTACCTTTGTTCCATATCTCAGCGTGCATTGTGGTTTGTGGATGGTTGTCGAACTATGTTAGCTTACAATCGCGAGCAATCTCAACCATTAGATAGATGCGCACGTAACAACGTTTTATCGATAACGTTGATGTGTACTATTCGTCGATTGAGCTCCCAAATTGCGCGATCCAACCATGGTTAGTTCGTGGTGTGAAGCCGACTCACCCTGATCTAGGTTTCATGGGTATCTTGAAAACATTAAAATCATTCATGATGATCGTCTAGGTTAATGGAGCAGGTGACCGTTTCAATTTTTTTTTACCGTTGGGGAGGGTGGTAAATTTGAGTTGTGGATGGGCGAGGGGAAACGTGAAGAAGGGGCAGAGGCAATGGTAGTGATTGGGGGAAACTCTGTTTGTGGTCTGGCTTGTGGCAGGCAACTGTATCTCTGAATGGCAATGGCATTTGCTGCTTTTTTACGCAAAGAAGGCCGAAGAGAGAAGAAGAGGGACAGGTCTTTTTTATTTATTTACTGTCCTTTGCCCTCTCTTTTCCTTTTAAGTTTTAACCTTTCTTTATTCCACTTTCTTTTTCTGTGTAGCGATGGAGATTGGGACATGCACAAAGTGGAAAATTCATCTTTGCGAGGAAGTGATGTGATAAGTTGATTACCCTAAAATCAGCTTTGGGATTCGGCTGTTTGCTTGTAGGTAATTTTACATTTTACACCTTCATGAAGGCCAAATGCCACTAGGTCCTTTGGTCTGTTACCTATTAAACGATGTTTCTTCAAGTTCGATCGATGTTGCTCAGGGTCCAGACTAGTCCGATTTGGATAGGTTACTATATAAGTTAGTCATAGACGCGTAACATCTACTTGATTGTGATTCGGCGAGAATACTACAATTTATAAAAAGCGGCATATTCATTATTATATACTGAAGATGTATTTTTATTAAGACGAGTGAAATCATATGATATGATTTCCCTTGACAACAAGAATTTAACGGAGTGATTATAATTTATAATGTTAGGCTTCGAACCAATAACATCATTACTTACCCAGCCAAAATGGAGACTTCCCTTTTCACTAATTAGAGCTTATACTCGTGAAATCGTCATTTTTTCAGGGTTTATCTAATGTTTGTGGCGGGTCGGGTGCGGGGTAATGGGCCCATTTGTTGGGAGTGGGCCCATTGAGTGGAGTGGAGTGGGCCCATTGATTGTCAGATGATCACGGTGTGTTTCAGAGAACTTTGGAATTTCCGCCTTACGTGGAATATAAACGTTATTATGAGCCCGCATGCAGATTGCTGAAGCCATGGCATGTGCCCGGTGTAATTATTGCTATGGATGGATGGGCTTTTGCTCCACGTCGGTCATCCGAATACTGAATTCTCCGGATGGATAGAATGCAACTCACGAAGAACTACGATCCAATAGTCAAATACATACTAGGATTGATGTTCGAATGAGCATTGCATTCGGTCTGATTTGATCCGATTCAAATGTCAATTTCGTATTATTTTTCTTTAATGTTTATAAAAATTGTGGAAATAAGGTCCGACCGAACCTCATTATATTCGGTTTGTTGTTACAACTCGATAGCTAACTTAATTTTGTTCCACAGGACAAGGATGTTTTTGTCACCCTTAAGCACATAATGACGTGAAAATCATAAATGTTTAGGGTTAACAGAGGGCTATAGTAGTATAGCTTGAAAAGAACATAAAGTCAATGCCAGAGTTGGAACTAATTCAACTAAGCATGATTCCCTACACAGCCAGAAAGAGTACAATGGAACCGGGCCTTGGACGTTCTTCCCCTCTTTGTGCGAAGGGCATACGACTTGGGCTTCGTTTGTTGGACTTGGACCAACAAACCATCGTTTCCTATTTTACCAGCTTGAGATGGGCTTTGCGAGGTTGTTGTGAATGTGCTACTACTGGGCCTGCATCTCTCCCAATATAATAATCTAGATAATAAATAAAAGCCGAATGATGAAAACTGTTGCTCCATTTCAAATTTCCTGCAACGAGAGTGATTATAGGAAGGACATTTTAGTCTTCACAATTGCTTATTTATTTATTTATTTATTTATTTATTCATAAAAAAGGCATGCACTGGGATTTGAACCTTGGTCTCTTTAAAGGCAAGCAAGGATCATAACCAATCATACTAAGTATATTTATTGTATCTATTTAAATTCAAACATACACGAACCTAAATTATGAAAATCATATGACTTTTTTAACGATTAGTTGGCCACTGAATCTCCCGTAAGTACTTATTTGGTGTTTTAATACTTTGATTATTTTAGTTGTAGTTTAATACTTAATTTAAATTTCTATCTATTTTATAAATATACAATAACCCTAAAATTGCAGCCCAAATATCACTGGTTCGAATATTGCATATCGAATTGCAATATTAAACATGTAGAAGCAATATCGACTTCTTAAATTAATATTATTTTTCAGAATTACTATGGAGAAATTATATCTTTGTGCAAACTATATGAGACTGGTTCTTTTAATGTTTTAGTCGGGATAACAGCTACATTTTAAACTTCTTCATAATCTGGCATGATTGGATCCAATGATCATTATACAAGATTGTGTTTAATAGGGTGGCTCATTTCACCACTTTTTGGCGTGTTAATGAATTTGTAGGACAATGACAGGTCTACATCTACACTCATCACAATCTACACATCATATAAATGTGAAATGTGAAATGAGAAAATAGGGATTCCATTTCAAATTTGATGCGTACAGAGCAATTTTTTAGGGGTAAATTTAGAAGATGCCAGTGCGGTCGGTCTGTTGAGCACGAAAGTAAAAATATGTTTTCATTTAAACGGGCCCAAACTGTTATTTGGCCCACTAATCGTGCACCCATCGCCAATGCAGTCAAATTCGGGATTTTGATCGTAAAATCGTAGGATTTTAGGATTTTACTTAGGGATTCCGATCTTGATTTTACTATAAAATCGGGACTAAAATCGTTAAAATCGTAAAATAGTACCGAAATCGGGATTTTGATCGTAAGAGAACAAAATAGGTGGTTTGAGCCAATTTAAAATAAGTATAACTGTTTCAGCGGAAAGGGCAATGGAATCTTCTCAGATATTTTTGTATTAGAAAAATATTCAAAAATAATAAAAATAACCAAATTAGGGTTCGGTTAATCTCTTTCCCTTCACCCCATTTAACTTATTGGTAAAACACCTGTCCTAATATTGGAAGTATGTAAGAACTAACATCATTATTAACTAATTAATTTATTAATGAATATATTTGTACCAAGCCACTAACATTACTTATTTTATTGGAGTTCAATTATTTTTAGTTTTAAATCATACTTAGTAGACGATGTCGAAATATTACTTTGAGTTAAACAACCTAGACATAACATGAAAATAAGAGCCAAACCCATGAACTATATCCCTTCATCATGAATTATTTTGAGTTACACATTAAATAACAATTAAAATAGTGATTTTGGAACATTAATCTTGAGAATTATCTTATGGAAAAAAAATCTTCTGAATTATCATTTTAAATGCTATGTGTCTTTGTGATATTAATAATTTACCTTATTAATATTCTTATATGCTATGTTCTATATGGTACTTAAAATCCTACGATTTTACGATTCGATTATACGATTTTGATTTTACCCCAGTTTTCGATTTTAGGTAAAATCTCGATTTTGACTGCTTTGCCCATCGCAGCCTCTCCAAATCTTCCTATTCTACTCGCCGGGTCATCTCCTCCACTACAAAATATCTCCTCATGTACTCAAAGTTCTCACTGAAACCTAATATCTACAACTTAGGCGCAGAGGGAGCAACCGATGGATTGTAGCGACCCCCACTATTTTGATAGCTAATCAAGAAGAGCGCGTTTGTTTAGTTGTATGGTGATTCACTTAATTAACAATTTTTATTCCGTTGACAGCCTCCTCTCCGCAATTGTATTGTGTTCACGAAGATCTGAAGGCGCAAGTGCAACAGGTCCAGGGGTAAACAATATGTATAAAGCGTTGGCCAAATTGAATTGAGTCATTCTACTTGGAATATGAAGATTTTTGCTTAATTGCTTTGGTTCGTGATGCAACTATGTTATGTTTGAAGGTAGACCAACGCAAACAACAGCACAGCTCCAGGGCTATTCTGCACATTAGGTAGTTGGGGCATTAATTGATAATTATTTGGGATTATTCCTACAAGTACATAATTTGGAACGTGCCATTATATTGCATTGATTAATAGTTGTTTGAGATTTTTCAAATGAGTGATTTAACATGTTAAACTCTCTTATTTTTGAAAATGGAGTCTTCGATGTGGAATATGAAGATTTTGGATTAAGCTTGGTTTCGTAACGCCCTTATGGGTGTTTATTCTCTAAAATGCAGCTGTCTTTCAAAGTGCCCGTTGCAAATGGCAAGTCAAGATACAACGATGGTACCGATACACGTTTATATCATTAGTAGGTAGCAGATTGTGTCCGTTCTACTATATCATTTAGCTAAATACTTAGTTGTTCTTTTCAACTAAAAATTATGCTTAAATGCTGTTATTGGCCTCGAAAATATATGTCTTTGCATTAACTGTTAATAATTGTGAGTTTTGGTTTAATGGTGAAAAGTCCATTTATTTAGAAGTCTAAATTGGGCAAACCTATTGGACAATAGGAATGCCATACATTAGTGTCGTGGGAGGTTTGTTTGATGTCTCAGGGTGTTAGATTTTTAAGAAGGTTGTTTGTTGTGGCAGAGAGTCCCTAAAGCTAGCGAGGTATTCCTATGTGGGCTTTTTCTTTGTTTGACTTTTTCTCGCCTTTTTTCTTATCTCTTTTTCTATTTTTGGTTTTTGTGTGCTACCTTCAGTTGCTACGTCTTCATTTGTGAGCCATCTATACTTTTCTTATTCAGTGCCTAAAAATCATATATACTCGATTGCATAGTAGTTACTAATAGATACATTTATACCAATAGAGAGATTTTAAGTTTTATCAGTTGTTAGTTTTAATATTTACTTACATTGGTTGTTTATGTAGTTTTCTTTGTAATATTTCTCATTATACAAATAATTACTATGGCTACGTAGTTGTATAAGTGGGGGTTGGACATGATAGTTCTTAGAAGCATCAATACTTGA